CGTGGCCGCAGAGGGGTGGAGTGGGCAGGGGAGAAATGTGACCAGAGTTTAATGACAGACATGTAATAAAGTCACCATCAGGGCTGGAGATGGCTCGACGGTTAAGAGCACTGGCTGCTCTTGCAGGGGACGGGGTTTGATTCCCAGCACCCACATGTTGGCTCATAACCATCTGTAACTCCAGCTCTAAGGGCTCTGAAGCCCTCCTCAAGTACCGGGCAGAAGTAGGGTGCCTAGACACACGCAGACATTCACAAACATACACACATCAATTGTTTTTTTTCTAATTAAGAGAGTGTCATAATAAACCCAGAATGATAACTGCAGGCTAAGACACATGCCAGACTGTGGGTGCATGTCGCCAATATGTGAGACAATGAGATGCATTCTCTGAGACCTAGAAGAGCTAAGAGTATGTGATGCCACTCAGGCTGGTTCTCTCTCGACCTGAGGTAAAATGCTGGCAGTGCCACTTGGAAACTCTGAGTCCTGGCCAGTTATTTAATCTTTCCAAGTGGTAGTTTTCTTATCTGTAACTGGAGGAACTATTATTTACTTCATAAAAGTGGTACAAAGGTTAAGGAGAGATCATATACGCCAAGGTTTCTGTTTGATGCTGACTGCTCTGGAGGAGTTACTGGAACCATCATGGAGCAAAAAGAAGATGTGTTCTTAGTTGACATTGTTCAGACACTCTTCTGCATCAAAATAAATTAAAGGTATACATTTTATAAAGGAAATATTCTCAACTACTAAATATAATAAAAGACATTAGAAAAGAAGGCAAGAAGATGCCATCCAAACACAGGAACAAAATAAGTCTAGTATAACTCTAATCATATGTGGTCATTTGGTATGGTGTAGGAAGTGGTTCAGGATGATGGGAAAGGATGAAATACTTAGGCAATGGTTTAGGGACAACCGGGGTCTTAGGTAGAAAGATAATCAAGTTAGATCCTCAACCGGTACTATATATAAGCAAAATTTCGGCTGGCCGGAGGAGGAAGATGTAATTATAGACGTGAGAAAGACTGTTCTAAGGTACCATCCAAGGCATGGATTTGAAAACGCAAGATGCTACGTGTGACTGGAGTACATTTCTAAACATTTAAACTTTATAATCTAGAGGTTACTGTAAACAAAGTTAAAAAGCAATTCTTCTATAGGGAATTGAAATTCAGTTAAGTTAACCCTGTCGATAAGGAGGAGCCCCTGGTGAACACACCAGAGGAGATGGTCTTGATGGTCACGAGGGGAAAGGTACATTGGCTAGTTATAGGCCAATTGTTAGGTAAAGTGTGGTGCGTCCCTGTGAATAAGGGTAAACTACCATGCATTAAAATGTCATAGAAGCCCAGTGATGGTGGCGCACGCCTTTAATCCCAGTACTTGGGAGGCAGAGGCAGGAAGATCTCTGGATTTGAGGCCAACTTGCTCTGCAGAATGAGTTCCAGGGCAACCAGGAATACCCAGAGAAACCCTGTCTTGAAAAAACCAAACCAAACCAAACCAAAACTACAACAAAATTCTACCTAGAAAATATGAAATGAGGGGTCTGGAGAGATGGCTCAGAGGTTATGAGCACTGGCTGCTCTCCCAGAGGTTCTGAGTTCAATTCCCAGCACCCACATGATGGCTCATGATGGTGCCTTCTTCCGGCATGCAGGTGTACGTGCAGACAGAACACTATACATAATAAATAAATCCTTAAAAAAGAGAGAGAAAATATGAAAAGAACTTCAAATGACTCCATGATCCCCATGTAAGGCTTGCAGGATTCTCAAAGGTGTAGATTGCCCAGGAAAGGCTGCTGGAAACCAGAACAGTCGTGTGGTCCCCGTTTCACACTCACACATGAGTATTACTAAGTAAGCCAGTGAGCTTGTTTGGTAGTGGAAGACTCTCTGGTGCTGTCTTTTAGCCAGGTGTCTGCATGAGCACAACAGGCAGGGTGTCACGTGAGATCAGGAAGCACACCTCTCTCCATACCATCCTTCCAAAAATGTTTAGTCTGGACCCAATCCTGAGCAAACAACCAGAAACTGGTCTGGACTCTTCCAAAAGGAAATCCATAGATTCATGAGGACAATTATAGATGAAAGACTCCAGTGAAACACAATTACCAAAGGTGGTTCTTGAAACAAATGAAAATATATTTTGGGAACTATAAGAGAAAAATTAAAATACTTAAATATAAGATGAATTAAAATAATTTAACATTATGAGAATATGAGAGGAAATTCTGAAATTGTTATACCATAAATTCAAGTAATCTATTTTTGTGGGAAGGCCAGGTTTTGATACAGGGTTTCTCTGTGTAGCCCTAGCCATCCTGGAACTCGCTTTGTAGACCAGGCTGGCCCCAAACTCACAGAGATCCACCTGACTCTGTCATCTTAGTGCTGGGATTAAAGGTGCGTGCCACCAACACCTTGTGACTATAGTTCTTGATGGTTAAATGATTGTGGAAGAATAAATTATGAAATACAGATTAGTGACTGAGTTTCTCTCATAATTGTAGTGATTGGGGGAGGGGCTGTGAAGGAGGAGAAGCTATGTGGAAGTAATTGTCTATTTTCTCCCTTTTCTTCTACGTTGCATTTTATTTTCTCACTTCCCCTAATGCATGAGGCTCCTGACTGTCACAGAAAAGCTAGGGCTGAGGCCTTCCCTCATCTCCCGGTGCCAAGGGAATGGTACTTACTGCTCACATTTAAGATTTACAGTCTAAATACTGTCACTTAGTCACTTCTGCTTAGCTAGTGTTTTACTGTCTTGAATTTGCAAGATAGTGCTGTGGCTGTTGGTACTAATTTGACATTTAGATAAAATTTAAAAAAAAAATGTAAAAGAGACAGAGAAAGGGGGAATCAAAGGGCGACACCCAGGTGAAGCACATCCACAGTTCTGTCTGCTAGTTTGCTGGCAGGACTCTGGAGCCCACGGTCAGACCTGTCCCAGGAATGGAGAGCTTCTGGTGCCCTGTGGTGCCTGAGCAACATTCCTCTGGGTAAAACATCGAAGTCAAAAAGGACTGTGACTCGGAGGCAAAGGAAGTGTGAAGTGCACACCCTGTCTTAAAGTCTCTTCAGAGGAAACATTAGAAACAGAAATTTGTTTCCATGATGTGAACCACTAAGAGCAAGGCAGGAGTCCTTAAGGATTACACAAGGAAAGAAAACTCATCTCCGAAGGGGCTCTCAGCTCTGTGCCCATTGTGGCTAACCATTTACCACAACGAACCTTCAGTGTAGAGACACCCCGGGCATGTTGTTCCCGACTACTCTCATTCCCTCTCATGTGAGGTAAAAGTTTCCTCCACCCTCGAGGTCCAAGTCAAATGTTACCTCTTTTGCAATGTTCCCCCTGCCAAAGTGTTGTTTCTGACCCAAATTCTCTTTGTGTTTTGCTGGTCCTACATGTGCCACACAAACTGTGTAGGACGCCCAGCTCCTCAGCCAGCTCATACATTGTGAAAAGTGACTCCTCTATTTATTTCTGTCTTAACACTTCATGTAACTCTTGTGTCTGGTTATTGTCAATCAGGGTTTAATAGGTTGGCTAACTGACACTATACTTTGATACTGACATTTATTATCTCGGGCCTGGGGAGATGGCTCAGAGCCCTGGCTGCTCTTGCAGAGATCTGGGTTTGATCCCCAGTACCACATGCTGGTGTGTAACTGTCTGTAATTCCAGCTCCTGGAAATTTGATGCCCTCTTCTGGCCTCCATGGGCTCATGTGCAGGTGGTGCACACGGAGATAAAGAAAAAAAAATGAAACATATTCCTACATTTTCTCACAAGTCTCCCAAGGACAGGCAGGTTGCTGTTAAAATCAAGCTACCATGTGCCACCACAGCCTGTAACAAAATGAGTTTATTTTGCCATTATTTCCAACTCTGCTGGCAGGCCTTTCTGAAGAATTCAGGTAGAGATGCTGGGGTACTGTTTCTGGAAGTATTTACCAGCATTGCCCTTCCCCTCTGTCACAGCCACTTCGACGCCTAAAGAGCCCCCTATTGCCACATGCCCAAGCAAGTGCACTGTCCCTGCCATCAATCTGGGTGGGGTTAAGTTGTTACTAATAGAGTTATCCGGACTGCTCACATTTGCTAAGCATCTCACCCTTTAACAAAGTGCTTTCCCTTGAGTCCTTAGGATTGGTCTCTGTGTCTTAGAATTGAGTTTAGTTCACGATGGCTGGAGTGGAAGCCTGACAGTGGAACCCAGCTCTGCGGCTCCTTATTCTTGCTGGAGTAAAAATAATCTTAATCCCAGCACTTGGGAGGCAGAGGCTAGAGGATCTCTGAGTTTGAGGCCAGCCTGGTGGTCTATGGAGCAGTTCCAGGTCAGCCAGAACTGTTACACAGAGAAACCCTGCCTTGAAAAACAACAACAAAAAAAGACGGGGGGTGGGGGTGGGGGGAGGAGATAAGTTATCTCTACCTCTACCGAGAATAAAACTAAAAAGGCACACAGGGCCTCCGCCTGCTTTTCTGTTTGTATTTCCCACCCATCACTCTCCACACAGCAGTAGGAGTGGTTTCCAGCTGTGCTGCAGGCATGCAGCATGCATTGCCAGGTAATCAGCTTCTGCATTTTTTTTTTCTTAAGGAGGCTCGGCAGTTCGGCACCAACCCCCTCACTATTTGATTTAATAATGCCTGCCCCAAATGTAATGCAATTCCAAGTGAAAACCTCTCTTTTGAAATACTTTCCTGCAGAACTCCCCCTCCCCTTCTGTGTCTCCTAAGGCGCTCTCTGTGATGTTATCATTTCCTGTGACATTTTCCTATTTAGACCCCCAAGTGGTAGAGCTCCGAAGGCACAGGGACACTATTGGGTTCACCTCTCTCCTTCTCTTGTGCTTTTTCCATTGGTTTAGGTTTTGTTAGAACTCAGAGGGTAGCTCACACACATCTCCTTTATCCACATTTCATACCTCAGCAAGAACTAGTTGCTCAGATGGGTCCTTACAGAGATCAGAGCTCCGAGGAATGGGACCCAGGACAGGTAAGAGTTTAGGGGCTAAGGGAAGGGCTGCAGCGTGGGGGCACGGTGCCCGAGGGGAGGTCTGGGAGGGCACTGGTGTGCCTTGGAGAGGAGTGGCCCTGGTAACTGATGTCCCTCAGGAAACAGTCACCATGTCTTCAACTTTGCTTTGGAGTGTCAGTCCACCCTGGATGCTGCACGAGCCAGTGGCCGTGACCAGTGACCTCTTACTTTCAAGGCTTGGCACGTGCACAGCGGCCTCTCAGGCTTCTGCCTCCCGTTGAGAATGGATGACTTTCTGAGATGATTGCTTCTCTTCCTAAGTGGAGTGGGAAATTCAAAAAGTGGAGATCTCAGAATTAGAATCTGCTCGCTGTTAAAGATGGAGAGGAATCATTCTCCCATGGTCAGGTGTAACGGGGAAATCCCTTTTCCGTTTCTTCACTTTGCAGACAGCTGCAGCGTGACTTTCCCAGGGCCCTGATTTTCAGCACCGATGATTTTTTCTTCAGGGACGATGGTGCCTATGAGTTCAACCCGGACTTCTTGGAGGAAGCTCATGAGTGGAACCAGAAGAGAGGTGACAAATTCCTTTCCAAACTCCCGGGAAACCCCGTTGTACATGTAGATTGTAGCAGATTCAAAATGAATACGTTCCATGGAAGGAGCTCTAAGCAGAAGTGCTGCCATTTTTCTACCCAAGCAGGATGGTGGGGCTTGCCCTCTGTAGTAGATTCCAGCAAAAGGAAACCCCTGAAAATGGTTCTGCACTAGGTAGCAGTTCACTGTGCGAGGAAGGCCTCCCGCAGTGCAAGTGACAAAATGTGGGTGATGCTCGCTCTGGTGACTGCTGCATGTTGTTCACTGTTGTGTTGCATTGTGTTACAGCAAGGAAAGCAATGCAGAATGGCATATCCCCCATTATTATTGATAACACCAACCTGCACGCCTGGGAGATGAAGCCCTATGCAGTCATGGTAGGAAGAAGCGTCACTCTGAATTTTCAGTTTGGGGTGTTTTGTGAGAAAGTTGAAACCTGTGTTCTCTCTTTTTCTGGCCTGCCATGATTTCACATTCACTAATGGTAGCTCTCCCAGGGGGCAGGTAACGTTGTTTTAGGGCTTCTCTGCTCTTCAGTTGCTGAGGGGCCCCCTTACCTGGAAGGGTCTAAGTCCTATCTCTCTTTCTCTGTCTCTCTCTCCCCCACCTCTCTACTTCCCTCCTCTGCCCCCCCCTTTTTTTGAGACAGGGTCTCTCTACATAGCCCTGGGTATCCTAGACTCACTACATAGACCAGGTTGGCCTTGAACTTGTGGAGAGCTACCTGCCTCTGCCTCCCTTCTTGTTAGCTTTTCAGTCCAGACTATTTTCTGTTTAGGGGAGCAAGCATCCACTGATACTTTCAGGGAGTTATAGACTAGAGAACACACTAGCAGGGTTATGAGTCCCAGTGAGCCAGCTCTACCCATTTCAGGTTGGGGATTTCAGCCCTCTGTTGCTGAGAGTTCCAGGGCAACAGAATTTCTTAGTCTATAAACAGACTTAGGATCTCCAGCGTGACCCTATTAAGGCAGTAGAATACAAATATCAACACACCACTCAGCTCCATCCTGATCTTTTCAGACATTGTTTGTATCTTATGAGGACAAGTTTTCATTCCACAAACGGAGCAGAGCAGGAGGCAGACAGCTTCTTGAATTACACATGTCCCCCAATATGTTGCGATGGCTCCTCCATGGGGCTCAAGGCTGTTTAGCTTTAGGATTCTTTCTACATTTAGGTAGAATAGCATACAGACAGCTGTGCTTCTGTCTGCTGATGCTTCCCTGACACTTGGGCCCAGGGTGGGAACTTGGGTGAATATAGACCCTGTATTTCAGTTCACATTCAAGGTCACATGAGACTAGCAGGGCCATGAAGAGCTGATGTGTGCAGGCACAGTCCAAAACCAGCATTAAGGAGCATCTGGCAGTGGCTTCCGGGAAGTCATTTCACTTCTCAGTTTTGGACATTAGCTACCCAAAGCTGTTAATGAGACCCAGTCATTAGCTGTTCTTAAGACACAGTGGTTGAATTCTTTCCTGAATAGGATGGACTGTCCAAAGGATGGAGAAGAAACTTAGATATTTAAATATATTCATTAATTGATAAATAATAATCTTACATATTAATGAATTACAGTGGGCTGCTTTGGTGGATATTATCATGGCTGACTGACAGGGAACTTAGGTTATCTGTCACCACAAACACCATTTTGGTGTGTGATGGAACACTCAGAATTCTCTGCTGGCTGTTTTGATTTGTAGAGTATTAACTGTAGCCCCTTCTGCTATAACAGCACACCAGACCTTATGCATGTTGCCTCCTTCTGAGGAGTCCCTCAGCTTAGCTCATTTAATTCTATTTTATAACACGCTGAGCATTAGTGATAACAGAAGGTTGTTTGAATAAAGTGGTCAGTGTATGAATGCAAAGAATGTTTAGCTGTTGACATGCGAGCCTTACTAATCATCTAAAGTCACAGAATTGGGGCCCAGGGCATTGGGCCACCCACTGCAGAGCAGGGAGAGCTGCGTTTGCAGGAAACACCATATAACATGTGGAAATCACTTTGACTTCATAAGCTGTGTGGCACTCTCAGTTACAAACCAAGATGGGAGGAAGTAAATCCATGATAACCATGAAGGTGACTTTAGGAATTCTCCAGGCTCATTGCTCACACCTGTGTTTGGGACTTTCCATCATGAGGTCAGTGATCTGTCTTAAGGATGCTCAGAGTCATACTAGATAAAACTGATAAACTTTAAGACATGTAACACAACATGAGTGGCTAGGTATGGGGACAAAATGCAGTAGATAGACTCAGGGCCTGGATGACTCGTAAAACCGGGGACATTTGGACAAGGCTGTGGTGAATGTTAAGTGGAGCGCGAACATCTCCAAGCATACATGCCATGTCTTCAATGTTTTATGTACTTTTGAAAAATCAGGCACTTGAGAATAACTATGAAGTTATATTCCGAGAACCCGACACTCGCTGGAAATTCAACGTTCAAGAGTTAGCAAGGTACCTCTTTGTTTTCCTAGTTCCTCATTCTGTATCCTGCTATTTTCAGGTATTTCAGACCGAACAAAAGCATCTTTTCAGGCTGGAAATGGACTGTAGTTTTTCAGGCCAGAAATGGTAATTCTTAGAGATTGATAAATTTGGAACTATTAATGTGAAGACTTGAGTTTTGAGTCCGATGTCTAATATAATGCTAAGTGCTAACCCTTGGCTTGAACTTGGTCCTTTTGAAGGACACCCTGACCTTTCTTTATGCTCAGTTGCTTCTTCATTGATGAGCATTGAAAACACTTCCTCTGCATGGGATGCACATGTCAGCGATGCTTCTTCTGCATCAGGCTAAAGCAAGACCTTTGAATGTTAAGCAGAATGTGGCTCATTCATGCTACAAGTGCTGCTTCGATTTACACAGCAACACATGTCCAAATAATACTAACTGGTTTTCAATGCATGGCTTCTGATAGCCACACTCCGTGTTCCCTGAGGCCAGTGACCCAGCAGAAGCAGAGTATTTCCACAGGGAGTCTGTGGTCACCCCCTCGATTGCCTGGTTGTTAAACCTGACATGGTTCATGAACTCTATTCTGTAACTGAAATCTTGGCAATTCCATTTCTAACCACAGGCCCAGATGGTATTTGTGTCCTCTAGAACTTAAGATTGTTTTAGCAAGTGACATTTGATGGTATCAGAAACCAACTGGTGCAAATGGATAATAGATATATGCATGTCACCCAAGGCATATCACTAAATACACGAGTAGTTATGTCATATGGTGTTTGTTCATGTCAACATCACCAGAAACAAAGCCTTTTGCAAGCTAGCCCCAGGTTTGTTCTGGGATGTGCATGAGAACCACATGCAGAGCTGCAGAGGCCCCTCAACAATAGGACATATGCTTTTGTCCCAAGGCAAAGCAGGAGCCATGCAATGTAGGATTTGTAATGTAAGCTACTTGTTTGGATATCCCACCTTAACTAAACATTTGTGGGGTTTTTTCTTCTATGTAGAAGAAATATCCATGGAGTGCCAAGAGAAAAAATACACCGGATGAAAGAACGGTATGAACACGATGTTACCTTTCACAGTGTCCTTCATGCAGAAAAGCCAAGCAGAGTGAACAGAAACCAGGACAGGAACAGCGCACCTTCCAGTGGCTCTGGGTACTGGAGCACCTACACAGAGCTCCCCAACCGAAGGGCTCATGGCGGCTTCTCCAACGAGAGCTTCAGAAGAGGTGGCTGTCACCATGGATATTAGCGGTCTGTGCACAGCCATTGCAGAATTTTCCTAAAGAAGTTTCTACTTCGATTTTTGGTATTTATTCTTTGTTCAGTTTTAGCCAGAGCTCTAATTCAGTGTAAATAGCCAAAGCCCAGAAGTTTCTGAACAGAAGTCATTATATTTGTTATCTCCAACAAGCAATGTCAGAGTGCGCCCTTATGGCCTGATGCCGAGGGTTCTGCTGAGGGCTCGAGGGTCTTTCTCTAGGGAAGTTGATTTGAACCTGAAATCTAAGATTATCAGTTAGCTGCACAGAGTCATAAACAAGGTGTTACTGGTACATTTCTGTGGGCTACAGTACCACTCACTGTCTTAGACAGATCCATCTTCTCCATAGAGCTGGAGAGTGAGGGAGGCAGAAGCAAAGGCAGGAAGCAGCTTTGTGCCATTACTACTCTGATAGTCTGCATCTAGAGACTAAACTCCTTACCCTAACGGCTTTAGACTTAAAGCACAGAAGGAAATGTTGCTCTTCAAGGTGACATTAGGGGACTGCCTCTCTTATTTTAATGATGTGTCACTGTTAAACATGCCTGTGAATTCTTAGGAACAAAGGTAACTAAAAAGAATCGGTACTATTATAGTCAGACCCTGCGCTCTGCAGTGTCAGCAGGACAGACCCCTCCCTCTGGCTCCTAGTCTAACTGTAAATAAACCTGCTTTTGCAAAACACCAGTTTTAAAGAATCATCAAGTGATTTGTATAACTAGTTAGCAACCTGGATGTTTAGGAGTGCAAAGCAATGAAGCAGCTAGGGTGTAGGTCATACAAGGAAATGTGAAGTCATGCTCACTGAGATGACCAGGCTATTTCATTTGGTGTTGACAGTGAACTGTACAATGTACCTCAGATCAGTTATGAATTTATGAGTCCAAATTAAATCCCAGCAGGCTGGAATCAGATTCATTTGGTACGAGACCGTGACACGACCATGTGGGATATATGCTGTACTTATTTTCTGGCCAACAGCTTCTTTCTAATGTTTTGTGAACTATTACTTTAAATGTCTTATATAATGGTGCTTTTATGGTTATTAAAATTGTATATGGTATTGCATTTGTATTGGGTTTGCCATTGAATTTGTTTTTGGCTTAACAACAAAACATTTACCAAAACACCCAAGGACTGATACCATAAATTAACCTTTACATATATCATAAGCTTATTCATGAACCATTAATAACTAGGAGGAATGAAGTCTGCACATTAGAAGGCCTACTTGCCATTCCATTATCAACACTGTTGAAGTCCACTCAGCATCTTCATGATGATAAGCAATGCATTTGCTTCACATTTTCAAAATTGGTGTCTTAGGAATAACAGAAAGCCCAGTGGATAAGCAATAGTAAATTGGGATGAATCTGCCATTCTAACTTTGCTAAATTCTAATGCTAAACATGACACACAGCAGTCCTGTAGCAATTCACTTGGTTTTCTTGCCTGCCAGGCCTATGGAATTGTGGGTATCAGAGCCTATACGTGCCTGCAGAATGACTTTGGAATGGATGGCTTCATGCATCTAGGTTGGCAAGGGGAGAAGTGTCAGAGACCCCACATGGGATTTCCTTCCTTTGGTTCCACAGGAGCATCCAAAGGGCCAGATTCACATTTCCTGATGTGGCTGGTTAGCTTTCAGAGCTTTGGTTTGCCTGAGCCAAGGGTGTCAACCACAGAAAAAGGCTTTAGGCTGTAGACCCTGAGTTTTCTCAGAGCTCTCAGTCTCCTGCCCAGCTATATCTCTCTGCTTTCTCTTACGAGGAGATACCAAAATACCTGGTTTGGAAGCATAAAAAACTGGTTAAATGCCACCAAGCTTATCTCAAAAAACAACTGATCAAATACCACCAAGCTTATATCCCATTTACAAGAAATATGTTCTTTTCCTTTCTGCTCCTCTGACCCTGACTTCTGGACCCTTTGAACTGCCATCACTGGCTTGCATTACTGTATCTCCACTTCCATCATTTATAGAGCTAGCAGAGTGCTCTGTAACCCAAAGGCTCTCAGTAAGACCAAGTAACACCTAAATGCTTTTGCCATTTATCCCTGGTCACACAGCATCCACTGTTGGCTTTCATTGGTGTCACTTTAAGGAAAATATGCACATGCCAAAGCTTCACACTTTGCTCAAGTCTATGGTCTGTGTAAAAGTTGTCTTTGCTAGGTGGCCTGAGGCAGGATGGAGAAGGTAATAGCATTTTTGATAGGATTCACCAGAAAAGGTTAACTTTCAGCAGGGAGGTGGTGCTCATACCTTTAGTCCCAGCACTCGAGAGTGAGAGGCAGGTGGCTCTCTGAGTTCAAGGCCAGCCTAGTCTATAGAGTGAGTTCCAGGTCAGCCAGGGCTACACAGAGAAACCTGTCTCAAAAGAACAAACAAACAAAAAGGTTAAATTTTATAAATGGCATAATTCCGTATATGTACGACTTGTTTATTCTGCTCTAGGTTGGGTCTAGGACGAGAAGACCAAATTATTTTATGAGCAAAACTTCAATCACCAATAAGAATAGATAGAACGCTTTAAGGCTGAAGCTCAGTGAGTGAAAGCATTGCCTGTAGATGGTGCTGTGGTCGGGAAGGTACCACATAGCAGGCCATCTTGAAGTTGGCACGTAGTGAAGATGACTTGGAATTCCCAATATCCTCTCTACTTCTATGCAGGATGACAGGTGTGTGTCATTATGCCTGACTGGATTTCTAGCTGGAATAATTTGAAAGATTATAGACTTTGAAGGTTCCTAGAGCTGAGAAGAATGACAAATTGGCCAGAAGTAAACACCACTGTTGTGTCTGTTATCCCGACAGGATGGAACCTAGCAGAACCAACCACATGTGAGAGGACACTATTTCATAGGAGTTATCTACAAAACCTTAAAAACAGGAACCAAACTAAAACAAAGTACCTATAAAGTAATAGTACTTAGAGACCTTACTTTAGTCAGTGACACAAACTAAAAGTAAAGGTATGTTTATTTTGCACGTAAAATAATGCTTGTAGTGATCAAATCTAGTCAGAGAGATTTAAAGATTTTTAAATTAGTTGGTATCTGGCCAGCTTTAGACAACTGAATAGTTACACAAATACCAAACCAAGCAGAACATCTGTATAGCACACAAACACGCCACAATTGTGCAGTTACTTGTGTCTTGACACACAAACGTGTAGTTTTAGAACTGTACACATCTTACAAACTGGGAGGCTAAGACTCGACAGCTAATTTTCCATCACTGCCCTTGCCACCTCTGTAATCCCTGAGATAGACTCCCCTTCCTGGATCGGGGTCCTACATGCTGGTCTGGCCTCTGTGCTGGCTGGGGGTTCTTTTGTTGTGGGGCACAGAGGTTCTTGTGGAGTCACCAGGAAGTACTTGTTGATTTTCTTCTGGTGAGCCAGGTACAAGAGCTTGGGTATTGAGGAAGGCAAGTTCTTCATCAGCTACCGAATCTTGTTCCAGAAGAGAAATGCCACTGTCCTTCTGAAATGGCGTCCTCCTCTGAGGGGAACTGGGTTCTTTTTTCTTCATAGGTGTTGCATATTTGGTGCCACAACTCCGTGGCGGCTGAAAAGCCTTCTGTGCAGCCGGAGAGACAAAGGTACAAATGGGACTGACCGGGGGAGGTAAGGGCAGCCGACTCAGAAAATCCAAGGCTCTTCTTTTTCTGCAGGTTTTTCGGTCATCAGTCTCTCTCTCCCTGTTACAAGACTTTGATGCCATCTGGGCTGACCGAGCCAGGGGTGTAGACTTTTCTTTTGGTGTGCAATGTGATAAAGGACTTGGATAACTTTGCTCACTATTAGGTGAGAACCTCTATCAAAACATAAAAAAAGGAGCCTATCATAATATGTACTTGTATATAAACAAAATTAAACTTAACCTTTCATTAAAAAATATGATCAGAGGGACACGTTCTTTCTTATCTAAGTGCTGAAGGATAGATGATGTCAAAAACATCCATGCTGTTATTCCCATTTCACAGGAAATGATTTTGCACAAGAGGATATAAAAATGGCTAGAAAAGGAAAATGAAGAGATCCTAATACAAGATTTTTAAAAACCCAAACATGCGACATCATTTATGCTTTAACTTTCTAAGAGTTATAAAGCTAAAAATGACAGATTTTTCAAAATCATTTAAAGAACACATCCCGCCCACTACTACTTCTTCCTCTTCTCCTGAACATTTATTTATTTATTTATTTATTTATTTATTTATTTATTTGTTTAGTGTATGTACAAGTTGTGCATGTGTGTATGTGTGCATGTGAGCACGCACATGCTCCAGCACACCTGTGGAGGTCAGGGGACTACCTGTGGGAGTACTCCACCAGGGTCTGCACTCTACCAGGTGGATCACAGATATCAGAATCAGGCTCAGTCACAAGCACCTTTGCCTGCTGAGCCACAGCTGACTGGCCTGGAGTTCTAACACCTTTCTTTTTTCTAGTCCCGAGTCACTGTTTAGCTTCTTTCTTTGCCAGTCTAACTCTAACAACAGCTTTTCTTGTACAGAGTGAGGATCGCTTTAGTGACTTAGGGTGCTGTGCAGTGCCACCTGTCCATTCAGTCCTAGCAATCAGACACCTGCCATGATTTAATGAGCCAACTGAGCTTAGAAAAACAGTGTAACAGTTAGCACATGGTATGTATGGGCTGTGGTGATATCTTGATTGTACAATACAGAAGGACATTCCCCATCAATGTGTACCTCTTCTAGCGATAAAACATGCCAGAGGCATTTTCTCCACATGTACTTGGAGTGTCGTAAATGCAGTTTGCTCTCATACATTCATACTTCAACAAATAGGTTACAATTCCCACATACAGCAGCTATAGCAAGCCTGGCACAGGGTAAATGCAGTTTAGTTATACCTCGTGTTTGCTAGGCCATGCAGAACACCTGTTACTTCCCATCGTGGCTTCTCAAACTGATAACTTACCATTAGCTGACCTCCTGTAGCAAGGAGCTCTGAAGCAGGGCAAGTGTAGGCCGGCTGAGTAGAGTCTTTATTTGGGGTGGACCACTTGGGACTGTTTCCATTAAGCAGATGTAAAAGCTTCTTTTCTGCCTCCTTGTAAAATGTATCGATATTCTAAGAGAGTAAATTGGAAAAGCTAATTCACACATCGATGTTCTTGGAAAGTATTTTCGTTCAGAAATAAAACATTCGGAACAAGAGAACGAGTCACATTTTTGTTTGTTGTTTAGCTAGGGTCTTGCGGTATAACCCAGCTGGCCTGGCGCTCAGTCTGGAGAGGAGGCTGGTGCTCAAGTTCTGGAATTGCAGGCAAGTGCCACCATGCCTGGTGAGACACTTAAAATTTGATAGCAACTGTCAAGCATGCACATCAGTGTAAACCAGCTCCCTCTATGGGGTTAGGGGAGGAGGGTATGAAGGAACACACCTGCTCATGTGTGGAAACGCTGGGCTCCAGGCACGCTCCAGGTGCCTGTGTTACTGCTTCCTACTCCCTAATCTTACCTCAACAGTTTGCCTCATTCTGTTGACTCGCTTCTGGAAGTAGACCTCCTTTGGACTGGCAGAAACTATGGAAAGATTCCCGGCAAATAACGTTGGCACTCCTGATCTGGATTCTGGGTGCCACTGGAGGTTGCTTGCAGCAATTAGCACATGTGGCTTTATGTCTTCATTAAGGTCTATCCCAAACTTTACCACTAATAAATTAAGGCATTCGTCTGATAGGTAGACCAAAGGAGCAAGACCTAGGATGAAAAATAAGTCATCTTTATCTTTACAATTGCTAGGACAATGATATACTTGTTTGTTCTAGTAGACAAAAACCCTGTGTTTAGAGAAAACATGGGATTTCCAGAGTCACCCGTTGCTTAAGGTGCTAAGATTTCAATGGCAAACATCCCAAGGCCACAGGGCAGCAGATACACTATACACTGCGGGTGGGAGTGCAGACCTGATCCATCCTTGTGGAGAAAAACTTGGCATTGCCTAGCAAAGCTATGTACACCTTACTTTCGACCCAGCATTCTTATTTCCAGCAGTCCACTCTGAAGACAGATGTCCAATAATAGTAAAATACAGGTGAGCAAGGGTCATGGTAACAGCTGCACCAAGGTCACTCACTGTAGTTCTTACTGTCTGCTATTATAAAATGTTGGAAGCAACTTGATCAGCTCATACACACAAGCAGCTGTATTGCACCCACACAACGGTTTACTAAGCAGCTGTGCAAAGAATGAAGAAAATCCCAAGACGGTGCTAACCAGAAAGACTCCAGTGTCACCCTGCATAGCAAGAAGGAGATAGAGAAAATACATACATATTTCTGCTACTTTGAGCCAAGAAATGAGGAAGACTGAACAACCAAACAGGTGAGGCTCAGAGGGGCAAAGGAGGACCAGACTCAGGGCAGAGTTGTTCAGGAGGGAAAGTCACTTCTCCAAGTGCAGCTTTCTGTGCAGCTCTGACTCTTACCGTCAACAATGGAACTTAGTTTTACTATCCACTTCCCACCTAAAAGGAATCTGAGTTGATTCAGGACTGTGTCAGGGAACACAGATCAATTGGCAGCAACTTGTGTTGCCAAAAAGCAAAGAAGTGCTCAGAAAGTGGAGGCTTGTTGAAAGCTTTGGTTGGCTTGGACCTGGGCAGGCACCAGGATGTATGCCAGTCTCTCCTGCACTGGACAAGGTCAGACACCGGGATGTATGCCAGTCTCTCCTGCACTGGACAAGGGCAGGCACCGGGATGTACACAGGCCAGTCTCTCCTGCACTGGACAAGGTCAGACACCGGGATGTATGCCAGTCTCTCCTGCACTGGACAAGGGCAGACACCGGGATGTACACAGGCCAGTCTCTCCTGCACTGGACAAGGGCAGGCACCGGGATGTACACAGGCCAGTCTCTCTTGCACTGGACAAGGACAGACACCGGGATGTATGCCAGTCTCCCCTGCACTAGACAAGGACAGGCACTGGGATGTACACAGACCAGTCTCTCCTCTACTTTCTTGGGTAATTTCCTGCCTTTTGGAATCTATGCAGATGTCTACCTCTCCATCAATTCCACATTTGTGGCCCTAAGTGCTTTTGCCTGTCTGTCGCTGGCTAAGGCTTGTCTTATCACAGTGTTGGAACACCAGTTGTCATGTGCTGTCTGCTCAGGGTCAGTCTTTACTCTCTTAATAGCTTCTTCAGCACAGTGTCCTCTTAGTGTAACACTTTCATCTGAAAACTATTCTGATCATGATTCTAACAACCGCTTTTCTTTTCTTTCTTTGAACAAGACACACATAAAGGAACCACACCTTCTGCTCCCTTGTTCTACTCAGTCAGCCAGTCCCTCTCTTCACGGAAAGGGTTCTTCCATGATGCCAAAGCCAACTACCAAGTCATGGTCCTCACCTCACACCAGTGCTTCAGACAGACTTCAACACACACACACACACACACACACACACACACACACACACACGGCACTGCTTCCTTTCTATCTACCCCATCCCTGAAAGTCCAAGTGTCAAAACAGAGTCCTTTGTCTCTTCTTAGTCCCCTTAGTGACCTCATTCAGTCTCATGGCTTTGCATCTCACTGGTGTGCCAATGGTTTTGAAATTGTATCTTCAGCTTTGAGCAGATGTCTGTAAACACAGCTTTCAATCTACCACATCTCCTCAGATACTTCTCATGCGACTGAGACTCCACTTGCAAACCGTGCTCCCCATTGGTTTTTTAAGTTGTCCCTTTTCAGCAAGTGGCAATTCCCATCTTCTATAGCTTCAGATACCCAAAACTGTCCCTTTACCTACGGAGTGTAACCAGAGTCTGCTGCTCACCATGCCAGTGGCTTCTGTCTGCTTCACTATCCTCCCCTGCCTAGACTCTTACCATGGCCTCCTCCTGGAGTTCCTGTTTGTACTCATACCCTCTATCCCCTATTTCCAATGTAACAGTTCAGGTGATGTGTGAAAGAGTCAAAGCCTATCCCTTCTCTACTTGAAACCTTCCCATGATTTCCTATCACCTTTTAAGTAAAAGTTAAAATATATACAAGGGAGCCAGCAAGATGGCTCAGTAGGTAAAGGCAATTGCTGTGCAAGCCTGACAATATGAGTTCAATCCCCAGATCAAGGTGTAAGGAAAGAACTGTCTCCATAAAGTAGTCTTGTCCTTTGACCTCTGCACACATCACACCCACACCCACACACATCTGGTTCTTCCTTGTCTCTCTCCATCCTCTGCCAAAACTTACAGGTCCTTCCCTTTGGCACAGCCTTCGTGGGAGCGCTCCTGGGTTCCACATGCTTCTCTCTCAGTTTCTTTATCTTTCTTTCTTTCTTTGTTTCTTTGTTTCTTTCTTTCTCTCTCTCTTTCTCTCTTTCTCTCTCTCTCTCTCTCTCTCTCTCTCTCTCTCTCTCTCTCTCTCTCTCTCTCTCTCTCTCTCTCTTTTTTTTTGGTTTTTCGAGACCGGGTTTCTCTGTGGCTTTGGAGGCTGTTCTGGAACTACCTCTTGTAGACCAGGCTGGTCTCAAACTCACAGAGATCTGCCTGCTTCTGCCTTCCAAGTGCTGGGACTAAAGGTGTACGCTACCACCACCTGGTTCTCTCTCAGTTTCTTCTGGTCCAACACAAATGTCAATGAGGTCTTTTCTGAACTCTGTTCTTCTGACTTCATTTCTTCTCTTTGGCACTCATATTATTTTGTTTTGTTTGTAATCTCCTCCTCCCACCAGAGTGCTCCTGGGAAGGAATTTTTATGTGCTATGTATGCACCTGATACGTAACGATTACTCAATAAATACTGATGGAATGCACAAATAAGCTACCCACCTTCTATAACAATCAAATGTGTGCAGGCACGGCATGACCCAAATGACAAAGCCCCATATCAGACAAACACAGGAAAGCAGGGGAAGAGGGAAGGAGAGAAGGAAGGAAGGGTTAGCAAGCATAGAGAAAAGCAGACCATAACCCATAAGGAACGCCCCCAAACAAGAAAATTCCTAGAATTTTCACAAGTGACTCTGCTATGGGACTTTAGGCCATACAGTCAATACAAAAAGCTCTGGGCTGGAGATGACAAGCAGATCCATAAGATGGAAAGGAGGCTGCAGGACCAAGGAAAGAAACTGACATCACACAGCCTGCACCACAGCGGGACAGACTCATGCCCGAGACATGACAAAGCTGTACGGTGTATGCAGAAAGCAAAATTAAGGCTATAAAGGCTACTGTGATCATAATGAAAAAGAACCAAATAGAAGCGGACATAAAGGCACTGTCACACAAGATAATTGGCATTCCTGAGGCAGGGCTCCTGAGAAGGGGACATGCAGGTCAGAGACACATAAACCACTTAGTGTGAAGCTTAAAGGAGAACTGCTCAGCAGCTGTGTCAGGGCTGAGAAATGCTTAGTTGAGGGCGCTTGCTCTTACAGAGAACATAAAACAAAACCAAACCAAACACCAATACAACAGGAAGGACAGTGAGCCAGAGAAGGGAGGAATGGGGAAACGGTGACAGCAAACACCGAGGAGCCTGCCCTACATCATGCACTGCTTTAAGAGTGGGAGACAGCTGGAGAGATGGCTCAGAGGTTGGGAGCACCGACTGCTCTTCCAGAGGTCCTGAGTTCGATTCCCAAAAGCCACGTGGTGGCTCACTGGCCATCCATTGTGAGATCTGGTGCCCTCTTCTGATGTGCAGATAAAAATGGAAGCAGAATGTTGTATACATAATAAATAAATAAAATATTTAAAAAAAAAAGTGGGAGACAGTGCCCTGCCCTACAGCATTACATCCTAGAAGAGGGACGGGTGTGTGGGGTACACTGTGAGGTGCTGAGGAATGCCAAGGAGAAAACAAAGCCAAAGGGAAAGTGCTGGTTTGGGAGAGGAGCCGACACTGTTCCTGTTAGGGTCTTTGACAGGCAACATGAAGGCACCAAAAGTCACCATGGCTGTCTATGGGAACAGTGAGTGCAGCCTCAGAGATGCCACAGCAAGGACATATGGTGTGGCCGAAGTACAATGGGAGAGAGCTAGGAGCTAAGGCTAAGGTGTCTTGGTACAATAAATAACCAAGAATGGAAGGTCCATGCCTACACAGGGCTTTCGGCTGCACTTGACATCAGTGCAGCACTCCTGTAGGAAAGGAAACCTTTGTAGATCAAATGCACAATAAAACAGGGCGGGTTGAGTTAGTGGTGGAACATCTGCCTAGCACTGTGAGCCCCCCCCCCCCGTTTGTTCCTCAGAACTACAAAACAAACAAAAGCAAACAAACAAACAAACAAATAAGAATCCAGACAAGATGTTGGGGAATATTAAAAGCTGAAGAGATCAGAGGTTTAAATGTTCCATTATATAATTATTTGATCGTAATTACCACAAAAACAAAAAACAACCAACACTTTACAAAGTTAAACAGCATGGAATAGAATACATCCTTCTCCTGAAATACTATTGAATTGCTTTTTACTAAGAAGAGAGGCTAATACTGGCCAACAGGGTGGCTCTGTGGGTAAAGGTGCTTGCCATCAAGCCCGATGACCTGAGTCTGATTTCTGGGCCCCAGGCAAGAAGAGAGCAGATTCCTTCCTATAGGTTGTCCTCTGACCTCCATATACATGCTGTCACACCCACACATGTGCAGATAAATACAGAGAAGTAGATAGGGAGATTACTTTCACATCACTACTTAGCAAGATTATCAGTGTAGCTCCCCACTAGTTACAGGTTTAGAAGTATGAAAGGCAATGCTTTTCAAGAGTCAATGAAAGGCTACATTAAATCCACTGCACATTACCTGTTGTTCTTACAACAGAAACTACAGCTCCTACGAGGTCCACTTCAGAACAAGGAGGCTGAAAGGCTGTCTCTAACAGTCTGCTGAAGTCAAGCGGCTCCCTCGGCTGGTAAACCTGGAATACGGTTTCACTGGCAGCCTACGGGAAACAACATCAGTCAGCATGCTGAGAGTCTGGGAAGCACTGTGCATTTATCAAACGGAAATGTGTAAGGAAAGGTGCAGACCGGTAGCTGCTGATACTGAGTTCTTTTCGTAGCTGTTAACTGGATGCTAGGTCGTTCAAATGTACTCCTAGATTTTGATACTGCCAGATGATAGATTCTGTATCTCTTTCCTTCTGTTAACAGGGAGTGTAAGTCTGATGATGGACGCCAGATACTCAGCAGAGCTGTTGAGAAAAAGAGGAGGAGGATACAACAGGCACACTGGTGACCATTTATGAAACATGTTAACTCACTGGATTTACATGACTTTTATTTTTCATTTGTCATTTATAAGCTCCCCTTCCCTTTTATAGGTTTGGATTTTTTTTTTTTTTTTTTTTTTTTTTTTTTTTTTTTTTTTGTGTAACAGTCCTGGTTGTCCTGGAACTCAATCTATAAGCCAGGCTGGCCTCGAACTCACAGAGATCCACCTGCCTCTACCTCCCGAGTTCTGGGATTAAAGGGTGAGCCACCACTGCCTGGTATAAAGTCACTTTTTAATTTAACAAAATCAATAATAACAACCTTGCATACTCACCTGACTTTTCTTTTCTCTCGTAGCTTGTAACTCGAAGCTTCCACACAGTTGAAACATCCCTTGATAAGCCCTCCTCTTGCTCAGCGGACTCCACGGCCTTCCGGAATTCTGATTGGATCTGTGCTTGCTTCTTATCATTCAACATTTGTCTGTGTTTGTTCAAGGCTCTCAGCTGCTCTTCACTGAAACAACCCTGTGACCATTGGAAACATCAGAGAGTAGCCCCAACAGCAGTCCTGCCTACCCTAATCAGCTGCCTTATATGTGAAGGAAGTACAACAGACCTGGCCCACTTCAGGCGATGTAGTGATTCCTCATTTTATCACACTGTGCTCTCAGGGACCTCAAACCGCCTCTGCCAACTTGTGATGGATTTCCCTAGGACCAAACCTCTAACACTTAGTGTTCTCTAACCACAACCAGCACACCTACATTTCAAATGGCTGGCATGACTGAACACTAACAGAAGCATGGATTTATGCCTGGGAAGTGTTCTAATTCACTTGATCTTCACAAGCATGCCATGACTTGTGTGCTATTGTTGTTTCCATTTGAACTGACGAAAGTGAGGCACAGAGAGACTCAGCAACTGCACAGCTGACATAGAAGGGGCTGCCTCAGTGGCTTTTATCCTTACCTCCTATGGAACAAATTTAATTTAATAATTTAGTTTAATAATTCATCTTTGGAACAGCAGATATAATTTTTAAAAGTTTGTTCGTATGTTTGTCTATTTTATGTGTGCATGTAGAACTATAGTTATAGGCAGTTGTGAGCTGCCAAACACAGATGCTGGGAACCCAATATGGGTCCTTTGCAAGAACTCTTGAGCATTCTCTTTAATTTTTTTGTTTTTTCAAGACAGGGTTTCTCTGTGTAGCTTTGGAGCCTGTCCTGGCACTTGCTCTGTAGACCAGGCTGGCCTTGAACTCACAGAAATCCACCTGCTTCAGCCTCCCAAGTGCTGGGATTAAAGGCGTGTACCACCAATGCCTGGACTAACTCTGAGCATTCTTAACCACTAAGCCATCTCTCCAGAATTTTGCTGTCTCTCCCAGGCACACATCTTGGCATCCTGCCTCTTGGTTCCCCAGAGAACACAGACATGTGCCACACAGATGGCTAAAAAGAAATGTTTAATGTTTGCATTTAAAAAAAAAGGAAGGAAGAAAAAAAGAAAGAAAGAAAGAAAGAAAGAAAGAAAGAAAGGAAGGAAGGAAGCGAAGCCAGGCAGTGGTGGCACAGCCTTTAATCCCAGCACTCTGGAGGCAGAGGCAAGGGGAATCTTTGTGAGTTCGAGACCAGTCTAGTCTACAGTGCGAGTTCCAGGACAGCCAGGGCTTTACACAGAGAAACCCTGACTTGAAAAACTAAAAAAACCCAAAAACCTAAAACACAGCCTCCTCCCCCCATTTATTTTGGGTGTGTGCAGGTCAGAGAAAAACTGGAAGGAGTTGGTTCTCTCCTTCCACCATGTGGGTCCCAGGGACCTAACTCAGGCTGTCAGGGTTGGCAGCAGGAGCCCTTTGTCCACTGAGCCATCTCTCTGGTCTTTTGCCTGGCATTTTAAACCATGTTATTTTAATATATGGAACTCATAAAGCTTTTTATTCTTGACTTGATAACAAATCAAAAACATGCCACAAGCCGGGCATTGATGGCGCATGCCTTTAATCCCAGCACTCAGGAGGCAGAGGCAGGCGGATCTCTGTGAGTTTGAGGCCAGCCTGGTCTCCAGAGCGAGTGACAGGATAGGCTCCAAAGCTACACAAAGAAACCCTGTCTCGGAAAACCAAAACCAACCAAACAAACAAACAAAAAACATGCCACAGAAGTCAACCTTCTTAAAGATGTAGCATTTCAACATGGACTTGACAGGGCTGGGGACTGAAGCATGTCACCTGGTTCTTCCTCACCTCAAGGTGATCTGGATCCAATGCACTCTGCACCGCTGCATAGAGCTCTGCACCATCTTGCAGAGCATAGACCTGCTGCCTTGTGAGTGCATGGGACAGCACGCGCCGCTGCGCTGAGTCTTCTGGGGGAGGGAAGGAAGCATCATTGATTAGCTAAACCCAAAACTTAAGAATGAACACTGCAAAGTCAAGCAAAAACACCCAGAGGAGGGAGATTAGACAATAAAGAGCCACCAAGAGCAGCAGGATGGCTCAGCTGGTAATGGTACCAGTTACCAAGCCTACCAACCTGGTCCACTTCCCAGAGTCCACCAGGGAGGAACAAACTGACTCTGTAAATTGTCCCTCACTTCTGTACATGTGCTGTCACATGCACACAGTCAATGAATGAGTCAAATAAGAAAATATTTTAGGCTGGTCTTTAATCCCAGAACTCGGGAGGCAGAGAGACAGGCGGATCTCTGTGAGTTTGAAGCCAATCTGGTCTACTGAGCAAGTTCCAGAACAGCCTCCAAAGTTACAGAGAAACCCTGTCTCGGAAAAACCTAAAGAAAATATTTTAAAAATCATGAATCCACTAAAAGCTTCTTTGTTAAAAAAGAAGAAACCGGTGCAGTCTCCAGTAAAACATCATACAAAGGGGTTTATGTAATTAGATTAATTTGTAACTTGTCATTTAAATATACTGTTTCTCATATTGACTTACTTATTCATGAAAACAGTATAATCTGGTCATAATTTTAAATAAGTTATGTGAAAGTCCAATCTATGTTTTAAAAATTTGTTTTTGAGTATGTGCACATGTGTGTTTGGATGAAAGCATGACACTTGTGTGGGTTGCCATGAAGGCCAGAAGAGGCATGGGATCCCCTGGAGCTGGAGTTATTTGGGGGTTGTAGGTGCTGGGAACTGAACTCAGGTCTTCTGCAAGAGCAGGAAGCTCTCTTAACTACTGAGTCATCTCTTCAGCCACCTAATCTTTATAAAGATACGCATATATTACACCTACAGAAATATTCTGAGGAGATACACAAAAGCAACATCCTTAGTAATACAAAGGTAGATTAGAAAAGGGAACTTTAAATTAGTTATACATAAAGATGATGAGTTAATCACTGAGGTAGCTTTGTGGGAACAAGTCCTACTGAGTTCCAGTTTTGTTTCTCAGAAACTCACAACTTCAATGACACATGCTGGTGCACAGCTGGACAGAATGCTGGGGAAGAAGCATAGCTGGCTCCTCCTGACAACTCTTCTAACATCAAGGATTCCCTAGATACTCAAACTCAGCTTAGGAATTCATGCCTAGGTGCACGCTTGCACCCCAGTTACTCTGGAGGCTGAGGTAGGAAGGTAGGAGGATCACTTATTTAAGGACCCTGAAAAATGCTGACACCTTATCTGTCACTTCTCACTGTCTCAGACAATTACCTCAAAGCTCAATTCTCAAAGAAGCAATGGCAATTGGAGTCAGTTCAGTTTTCATTTCTGTATATGTGTAGTATTTTGTAGGTTAAAAAAATCAGATGCAAAATTTAAAAAAACAGTTACTCAATGAGAATCCATATAATTACAAAACATAGTGAGAAGTAACTGTGTAATGTGAAGCCATTTTACCTTCATGGTCTTTAAACTCTGCCTGGATTTTGGTGAACAAGGCCTCCAGTTTCTTCTGTTGGGCCGCTGCAAATCTCACTGCTTCCTTCTCCTCTTCTCTCTCATTACGGAATATGTACAATCCTGATGCCGTCTTCTCCACCCACTACAATGTACCGAAAACAGGAAGGGACATTCAGACTGTCCCCAAAGAAAGACCTTACATGGTAAGTTTCAAATGTACCATACCTGTAAAGGGTACACTCTCTGAACAATGATGTCCACACAGCCAACGCTTCCTCCATCACCGAACAGTGAGGACAAGGGCAGAGGGAAAGGCCTGGGGTCATGAAAGAACCCCAGTTTGCTGTGCCAGCGAGCAGGCCGTGTGCTGTTGGCAGAAATCTGAACAAGTTAAGGAGGAGAAGTTAAAGACATACTGATTTCTACTCCACAACTTTCAATCTTTTGGGATGCTTTAAGAATATTCCTTGTTGCTGGGCAGTGGTGGCACATGCCTTTAGTCCCAGCACTGGGGAGGCAGAGGCAGGCGGATCTCTGTGAGCTCAAGGCCAGCCTGGTCTACAGACCAAGTTCCAGGACAGCCATGGCTGTCTTGAAAAACTAAACAAACAAACAAAAAACCTAAAGAGAAAAAAAATTCAAGTGTGTGTGCGTGCGTGCGTGCATGCGTGCGTGCGTGCGTGCGTGTGTGCGTGTGTGTGTGTGTGTGTGTGTGTGTGTGTGTGTGTGTAGAGGTTGGTGATTAAAAAGATGGTTCAGCAGTTAACAGTATTTGCTGTATTTGCAGAGGGTCTGAGTTCAGTTCCCAGCACCCATATGATCGCTCACAACTCTAGTTCCAGGGAATCCAATTTCCTCTTCTGTCTGAGGAAACTGCATGCATATGGTACGCAGGCAGGCAAAACACTCATACTCAGAATACAAACTTTTTAAAAAATTCAACCATTAAATATCTCATAAAGATGATTGATACAGGTAAAAAAAAAAAAAGGAGTAAGCAGAAAAACTATACAAAAGGGAAAGTACTTTTATATTGTGCTTCTCAAGAACATTTCTACTGTAGGGCTTGGGGTGCAATCTACTACAGAGCACTTGCCCAGCAAGTGTAGGATCTGATCCCCTAGCAACACACACACACACACACACACACACACACACACACACACACTCAATTACTTCTGCTACAAAGCATCAATGTTACTTAAATATTTTTAGTAGAATAGGTTAGGTGTGGGTGATGGCTCAATTGGTAAAGCGCTCACCCTGTACACATGAGGATCTGAGTTTTATCCCCAGGGCCACTGTGAAAATGCCAGGAGGGGTGGCAGGCACTTGTAACCCCAGTGCTAGGAGAAGGAGACAGAAGTACAGGTACCTAAATTCAATTTTGGTACAGACTGATTCTTCAATAACTGCAACTGCATTTAGTTCAAGAAATAGCTCTGCCTCTCCTAGACAGCAAAAACCCTTAGAAAAATTTGCTTCTTACATTATCAGCACATTGTCAAGAGATGCTATCCTTTATGACAAAAGAAAACACAACATTTTCGGTTAATTGCCTCTCTAGGATATAACGGAGGCATGGGCTGGTTCTTGCCCAGAGTATGTAGTAGTGTAATTTACCTTCAGTCTAAGAGAGTCTGGTGCTTCCAGAGGTGCGCAGGCATCAGGAGATCCCACCAGTTCTGCCCCTTGGGTAATGATTTTCTGACCCACAGTCAGTCTCCTGCTCTTTACAAGAGCCACAAGTGGAGGGTCTAGCTGGGCCTTGACAGCATACCATCCGTCTGTGAGTTCGATCGTGTCTATGCTCTTGGGATCTGCACCACTAGTTTTGCCGCCTGAAGTTTCTGATCCAGTTGTGCTTAGTGACATGACGTCAGAAACACAGAGAACGAGTGTTTTTGCAGCAGTATCATCCCTTTCCAGGATCTTCTTTAGGGCTGATCTGCTGCTGTTGTCAATTTCCACATCGTATCTAAAAATGAGACAAAAATGCTGTGTTAGGAATTGTACCCCTGGGGTTTCAGGTAAACAAAGCCACTGAGTACTCGAGAAGTAAAGTTAGTTCATTGGGCAGGAGACATAAATGGCAGTTAAGAGAGCATGTGGCACTATCACGAGAACCAGAGATTAGATCCCAGCACCCACATAACAAGCTGGTAGAGAGTACATGCCTGTAATCCCAGCTCTGAGGTGGCTGGAGACAGGGATTGCCAGGGCTTGCTGGCTTCCAGACTAGCCAAGAGAACATGAGCTCCAGGTTTGGGGAGAGATCTCACCTCAAAAAATTAGGCAGAGAAGGCCAGTGGAGGACACCAGATGCCCTCTTCTGGCCTCCATGCATACATGTAGGAGTACACATCCACACACACAATATGAGCACATGGGATATACCCAGATGCACTTACAAATAAATAAATATTTTTAAAAATTGCTTCATTAAGCCAGGCATGGTGATGTACATCTTTAGTTCCAGCACTTAGGAGGCAGAAGCAGGCCAATCTGAAGCCAATCTATATCTCACCAAAGAAATACTGAAAAGATAATTTTTAAGAATTTAGCTAGAAGCTAGAAGCTAGGTGGTGGTGGTGTATGCTTTTAACCTCAGCACTTGGGAGGCAGAGGCAGGTGGATCTCTGAGTTTAAGGACAGCCTTGTCTAAAGATTGAGTTTCAGGACAGCATGGCTACACAGAGAAATAGCTAAAATTGTTTTTTTTTATCATTATCATTAATATAAGAATACTAAGGAATACTAAGGACAAACTTTTTTTTTTTTTTTTTTTTTTTTTTGAGACAGGGCATGTGTGTACACATGCATGTGTTTCTCTGTGCAGCTTTGGAGCCTGTCCTGGAAATCGTTCTGTAGAACAGGTTGGCCTCGAACTCACAGAGATCTGCCTGCCTCTGCCTCCTGAGTGCTGAGATTAAAGGCGTGCGCCACCAATGCCCAGCAGGACAAACTGTTTTATTAACCATCTTTAAATACTGAATCAAGTTAGTAATTCACATGTAAAAGGAGAGGGGTGGGAGAAGAGGGAGACAGAGGCATATGAACATTTTCCTTAAGTAGGGGCTGTCACTCAGAACTGGTTTATGTACATCTTTGATATGGAAGTCACAGGCCACACAGGAATCTGCAGGCTACACGACAGTCACTTACTGCCATCCTTTCAACTTGCCTGTATTTTAGTTGAAGCAGCACTCTTTCTGGGGTTAGGCATCTGTTAGCAAATTCCTTAGGAAAAGCAAATTCCATAGCTGCCAGTTTCCACACAATCCACCGGTAGTGATTAGAGACCCAGAGGCTAGAAATAAGCTTTGGATCCACACCTGGAGTGTCACACAGAGCCCTGAGCAAATAAATATACAACACAATAAAAACACACAGTAGTATCGGGTTCCACAAGTATCACTGTTCTTTGTGAAAACCATGCAGTGAGCGTTTGTGTGTACACACCAGTAAGACAATGCTGTGCAACTAAGCATTTGATGTCTAAGTACTGAGATTTGCTAATTATGTACTGAGAGTTAAATAGTTCTGTTTAACTTTTAGTGTTTATGTGTACATTTTAAAACTCCTCATTTTTCAAAAAAAAAAAAAAACATTTTAATGATTCTTTGTGGATTTCACATCATGTGTCCTGGTCCCCCTACTCATCTCCCAGAAAAATACGGAGTGCTTCACAAATTTGCGTGCCAGCGTTTGTGTCCTTCCAATTTTAGTGTATGTTTACCGAAGCAAGCACTAGTACTTATATTTTTAATATTTACTAAAATAAAGAGTGAAAGAGGAAAATGACACAAAATGGGGGAATACCATAAGGGAAACTCAAATTGAACTATTTCTACCATATTGTATAAAAATATAGCCAATTAAAATAAACAAAAAATATACTTCATTAAGTCCCAGGATAAATCACATTCAATTTTCAAGATTTCAAAAGAATGTTTAGTAAACCAGAATACACTTTAAAAGATTCCTGATTAAAACAAAACAAAACAAAACAAAACAAAAAACACAAAATTAGTAGCAACTTTTTAGCTTAAGAGCCATAGGAAAGAGCAAGAATGCTGGAGAGATGACTCAGTGGTTAAGAGCACTGGCTATTCTTCCAGAGGTCCTGAGTTCAATTCCCAGCAACTACAGAGTGGTTCACAACCATCTCTAGTGATGCCCTCTTCCCGAATAAAGGCATACATGCAAATAGAGCACTCATATACATAAAATTTAAAAAAAAATAGAAAGGAGAGAGGGACAACAGAATAGGTGAAGGTTAACACAAAATCTCTTTCTGCACACAGCACCTATAGAATTCTTCTTTTCCAGCCTTCCCTTCATTGGAGGGGATCAGCCATCCACCATCAGCCAGCTGAATGCCCTTTCCAGCACACAGGTCCTCTTTACCAAAATAATCCTGAATGTCAAACTGAAAATATTCCGCATTTTTGCTGTTAATGCTTATGCACTCTTTAGAAACGCCATACATATAGAGCTGTACAAAAACAAACAGAAAAATGTGATAATAAAAGTCAAATACAGTCCTAATAAAATAAAAATCACATATGTCCTAGAATATAAAAAAACTAAATTTATCCAGAATTTTTCATTTAAATACTAAAATAGTCACTATAAAAACTTCACTGGCCTCACTATAAAATGTTCACTTGCCCCTGGGTATAGGTCATTGATAAAGTGTGTGCTTAGCATGTAAAAAGCACTGGCTGTGAAACACTCACAGAGACATGTTCATACACAAACCCCCTCTGTACTAAAAGTATGATATTTATAAACAGCTCATGTATCCAAGAGGTGGCTGCACTTTTCATTTCCTCTTATATCTTCCTCTTGCTAAATCAGCCACAAGAAGGCCCCGTGTCTGCCACCCGCAGTGGTAGGCTGCGCTTCTTCAGCAGTGCATATACTAAACTGAATGCAGCCCAGGTCAGCATGCCCCCTGCATCAGGCAGACATGCCAATTCATCAAATGCTCCGTGGTTTCAACCCATTATGTTGTACAAACAACACGTGCAAGGAAGGGCAAGTGCAGGGCACTGTGAGGAGCTTGTTCTCACCCCGCCCCCATGCCCAACCAAGCTTCTTTCCCTTCAGGCAGAGTGGCTCTGACCCCTTCGATGACTCTTGCACTCAGGCAACTTTCGGCTATGACCTAACCCTTTCTATGATTCAGTCTTCTCGCCTGACAGACGGACATTTCTCAAAAGAGGGTGAGGGCCTCTGTGTCACTGAGCCATCTGAAGCTCTTAGGAGTGCCCAGAGTTTACAAAGCTTCAGTCCACACTGTTATTGCCATAGCCTTCTATTTGGGAATATTCTATAAACAGTAACATCTTCAGTAGACTCAAACATCAGAACCTCTAGACACTACAGGGCCATCAACCACTCACACTTCAAATCAGAGCTGATTAGACTCTTCCAATACCTAGCTCAGAGCACTTCCACCAGCACTATGAGCAAGAGCTGAAGCACAAACAGCAGCTTTGAAGCACAGATCACTTTGGTGAGGGTAAGACATGCCCGGCAGAGGACAGGGAGGCTGCCACTGTAGGTTGATGAGGAAGCAGAATCGCTTTTTCATTTGATCAGCAGTAATTGTTCATTCTCTAAACAAGACAATTTGCAAATTCTAGCTAAGGGCATGAGGTTTCCCTTTGCTGTAAAAGCTGTTAGTACCACAGCATACCTGCTTATGAGAACACGCAGAGGGAAGCCGGCCTCCTACTGCGGCCTGCAGAGAGATCCGAGGCAGAGTGGATGACTTGGTAAGATACAGACTGCCTGGCTGTGGACAGAGCTGATGCCTTTCTTTCTTTTTAATTCGTATATTCTGTAGGTCTCTGGCATTCTGAAGGCTTGTCATTAAATCTGTTAAAGGACAGTTTGCAAAAGTGAAATGGATGTGAAATTAAAAGGCACAGCCTGGCTGGGCCTTGGTGGAGCTTGTCTTTAATCCCAGCATTTAAGGGCAGAAACAGGCAGATCTCTGCAAATTTGAGGCCAATATGGTCTACAGAGCTAGGGCCAAGACTACACAGAAAAATCAGGTCTCCAAAAACCAACAAACAAATAAACAAAAATTTCCTGTCAGTCACAGTAGTTCTGGGTTATGTACCTAATGGTCTTTTTATTTTCTGGGACAGGTCTCACTCAAGCCTAAACTAGCACTGAACTCCCAGAATTCTTCCTGTCCCAGTGTCCTGACTATTGGGTTTATATAACACCCACTGGAATCTGTTCTTTTTTTGAGATAGTGTCTTGCTCTGTAGCCCAGGCTAGCTCCTGACTCAGACTCTTGAGTGGTGGCATTACAGGCCTGAGCACATCATTCCTGGTCCCGAATCACTATTATGTTTGTCCTGTGCGTACATGTGTGTGTATGCACCCATGCATGTGAAGGCCACAGGTTAACATGGAATGTCTTAATCCATCACTCTCCATTTTGAGACAAGGTCTCTGACTGTTACAGAGCTCACCAATTTGACCAGGCTGGCTGCCAGAGAGCTCCAGGAATGCTCCTGTCTCAGCCCCTTCAGCACCGGAGCTACATATGTGTGCCACCACACTTCAATTTGATGTGGGTACTAGAAATCTGAACTCAAGTCCTCATGCGTGTACAGCAGGCACTTTATCCACTGAGCCAGCCCCCCAGCTCCTGGCTTTTGTTTAAAAAACAAACAAAATAGAAGAAAACAAGAAAGTCTGTAAGCAGTTATCTTTGAAAGAAATCATTAGAATACTTTGAACCTAACCTTTGGAGTCAGAAAATCTGAAATGTTAAAAAGGTTCTGAAATCACTAATCACCATAAAAAGGAGGAAATGCTCAGGGTAACATTAATAGGCGAACTAGCTGATCTAGTGGTTCTCAACTGTGAGCCATGACCCCTTCACAATGATTCATAATAGTAGCAAAATTACAGTCATGAAGTAGCAATGAAAATAGTTTTTATGGTTGGGTCACCACAACATGAGTAACTGTATTAAGGGGTCACAGCATTAGGAAAGGTGAGAACCACTGCTCAAATGAAAAGGCGAAAACCAGGACTAGCAGATGGCCCAGCAGGCAAAAGTGCTTTCTGCACAAGCCAGACAACCTGAATTCAAATCCCCAACTCCCTAAAACTGTCCTCTGACTTCCATGTGTGTGCCATGGCTCCTGTACCTGCACAAACACAGAAACCAAGATTTAAAAAATTATTACATAAAACATGTCAAACTAATGTCACCCAATACCTAAAGGCTCTTCTTCACACTCTGTGACAATTCTAGCGGCCTCTTGATGGAAGCTGCCTTTTTTAAATTGACGAATGTCACCGTCGTTCACATCTTCACTGTCTCCATCTCTGCTCTTTTGGTTCTTTTCCTCTGAATTAATATTCTTGTTATTCAAATGTTTATCTCTGTGAAACTGTGATTTCATTTTGAAAGGTGGGACGAAGACTTTGTGGGATTTGCCTGTGACTGAGCATCCTGTCCTTTCATTCCTTGTAGCAGAAACTTTATGAGTCGGCTGGACTGAAACTGTAGAATTGCTTGAAGATTTTTCCAAAGCCGAACGCACAGAAGGATGCCCTTTAGACAGAAGTCCTTGAGCAGGTGCAGTGAAATGTGGACTCTGCATTTCTTGCCTTTCTCTGGTAGAGCTGCGTTGAGGAGAGAGTACTTAAGTCTGTTTGTTTGACTCAAAGTGCGTACGTGCATGCATGCATGGGTGCCTTCCCACAGATCCTCAGTGCTACCCGCCAATCTTATTCTGGTGATTGCTCTGCTCTCCCAAGTGTTGACACCATAGAACGATACCACAGTGTTCCAGGCTTTCACTGTTCTATATCTCTATTGCCAGCCTACTTCCCACAGGAGCCTGTGCACTGTCAGCGTGTGCCCCTACTGCTCTGTACAGCGCTCTCCCACCTGCAGAGGCCTTCCTGCTAGTAATCAGTCTTCTCTGGAACCCCGTTCTTCCAGTTTCCAGACCAACCTCTCTCTTTTCTATTCACCAGCTAATCTATACATTTTTCTAGCACACATTTCTAATTCATTCTAAACGAATTAGAGAGCTTAACTTTAAAAGAATCACCTTTTTCTTAAATTATACTCAATTTACACTAAAATAAAAAAGAAATTACACATATCTTACCAGAAGGGTCCACAGGTAACTGGCTCTAGAGAAATGTGGTGCGTGAACAATCTTCTGTCTTTTATTGTACCTAAAAAATCCCACTCTATAGCATTAGTGAAAAGTAGGTTTCCATTGCCATTTCTCTTTATTACACATTACTGTAAATGTTCTCAAAATTTTGATAGACATTGAAGCTTTCAATGCACATTATGGATACTTAATAAGTAATTACTGAATACACATCATTTGCAAGCTAATTATAACTATAAACCAAAAACCCCACATTTCAAACCTCAGAGAAATCGGTTTTAAATTTTGTAGAGTGGTGTTAGCAATCATTACAGTTAACTAACAGCCAGCCTTAGTATTAACTCTGAAGCTTGGTTTTATGAAGGTTCAGAAGCAAAGCTTTAGATAGTATTAATTCTCAATATGCAATTTGTTCTTTAATCGGGGATTAGCTGAATAAACCATTAAACAGCCACACGATCAAGAATGTAACTATGTAACCATGCAAATGAATAGAAATAATTTACATATTCATTAAGCAGCATTCCCTAGCTTTGCAGAGAGGCCACATTGTAGTCAGTGAGGTTTATCTGAGGCACATACGATTATAGCTAATTGAAAACTTTTCCCAATACCAAGCCACGAGGACTTGAAATACAGTTGGCATTGGCAACTCCTATGGCAATTTCTCTATGGAGACTGTCAAAAAAAAAAAAAGAAAAGAAAAGAAAAGAAAAAGCAAACAAGGTACAATAATGCAGACAGATGTTATTAGAGAATGTCTATAAGAACAAACTGAAAACCACTGAATAAGAGGTGGGGAAAATGAAGAATAGCCTGGAGTGTGACTGTGGTGGATTTAAGACTCCTCCAAGTATACCTTCCTACAGAGTTAATGAATGAGTTATGCAAATGTTTTGTTTGTTCAAATGTAAGATTAAAGAATAAGAAAACTGGGGGCTGGAGAGATGGCTCAGTACTGGCTGCTCTTGCAGAGGACCAAGGTTCAATTCCCACCACCCACATAGTGACTCTCAACTGTCAAGGAGAACCTCTGCACTGCTAGTACATCTTCCTACAGATGCCACCTTAATCTCAACAGTCTATTTTCACATCTAGGCTGAGACGCAGTAGCTACTGTTTAGTTTTTTTTTTTTTTTTTTTGTTGTTGTTGTTCTTTGATTTTTGCCATAGGATTACCACAGGTACCTGAGAGAACAACACCAAATTAGTTACTCAGCTTTGGGGATTCAGCAGACTTTTGTCTTTTCAGAAGAGCTGATTTTATTTGTTATTTCTGTGTGTGCCTGTGTGTATGATGCTATGCGAGTGAAGATGACAGGACAACTTTTGGAAGTCAGTCCTGTCCTCCTAAAATATGAGTCATGGGGACTGAACTCATGTCATCAGGCATGGTGGTATATGCTGAACCATTTCACCAGCCCGAGGTTTTTCTTAAACAAATGAAATAAGGTTATGACTTCAAGGAGGACAGTAACAATATTGCTATCTTCGATAGAACTTAGCTTTCAAGCAACAAGTAGAATTTAGGGAAGTTTGTGTCTGGTTCTGTACATTTTCTAAAAAGTAAGACTTTTCAGACTAAGAAGCGATGTCATTGACAAAGGTAGCTAATGTTGGGTACTAAAATTTGTCAACTTGGGCTGGGCGGTGGTGGCACACACCTTTAATCCCAGCATTTAGGAGGCAGAGGTAGGTGGATCTCTCTGAGTTTGAGGCCAGCCTGGTCTACAAAGTAAGCTCCAGGATAGGCTCCAAAGCTAACTGGTCTTCTAGAGGTCCTGAGTTCAATTCCCAGTGACCACATAATGGCTAATAACCATCTGTAATGAGATCAGGTGCCATCTTCTGGCCTGCAAAAATACCTGCAGACAGAACACTGTATACATAATAAATAAAAACAAGAAAAACCAAAAATAAATAAGTAGTCAGCTTACAGCTGGGCAGATGACTCATGGGTGTTGACTGCTCTTGCACAGGACCTGAGTTCATTTCCAGCACACAAGTGAAGGTAACAGAACCTGATGGCCCTGGCCTCCTTGGGCACTGCAGTCATATGCACAGACTCCTGTACAAGTGCGCTCTCTCTCTCTCTCTCTCTCTCTCTCTCTCTCTCTCTCTCGTGTGTGTGCGCGCGCACACACACACACACACACACACACACACACACACACACTAAATGTTTTTGTTGGAAAAAAAGAGGAATGTCAATAGACTGTAATGCACTAAGAGGAAAGGAATCAACCATATGTAGTGAGTTGAAAGATGGAGCCAATCAGGACTAAAAAATGCCTACGTTATTGGGTTGCCGAGATCATGTGACTTAAAAAGCCCGACTCTGGGGCTGGAGAAGATGGCTCAGAGGTTAAGAGCACTAGTTGTTCTTCCAGAAGTCCTGAGTTCAATTCCCAGTAACCACATAGTGGCTCACAACCATCTATAATAGGACCTGGTGCCCTCTATGCAGGCAGAACACTGTATACATAATAAGCAAATCTTTAAAAGAAAAAAAAAGTCCCACTTTGATGAAATGCAGTAAGTCACTTACCAGTTTCATTAAGTTTAACGTCACTATTTCATAAGCATCCTACCCTTTGCAATTCGAGCTTTCTCAGTGCCCTACTAGGCATCATAGATGGGCATTCATGTAACAAGGCAAACAAAACAAGAACTGAGAGAGAAGTTGAAGAGCATCATGCAGAGTACTTGTTGAGGGGGAAAGATGAATTAAAAACAAATTTACCATCTGGAGCACTTTTTGAAGGCTTTAAGGATTTTCCTTTATTTTCTATTATCCTGTCAAACTCATTTAATAAGCTTCTTTTGATTGGGGGTTGTCCTAAAAAGAAAATTCCATCCATGTTAATAATTATACCAGTTTTACCTTTTAAAAGCCCATATTTCACTTTTTAAAACTAAAGTACTGACTCATATATGTTAAGCAATGAAAACAAAACAAACCCCCACAGTTTAAGTATTATAAAGTTAAATTTGCTCATACAGAACGGATCCTATAGAATACTTGATGAAGTAAACCTGTTTCTGGCAGGATGGCTTGTAATGAACTGACTTCCAGGCCTCTCTCTGCAATATGATGGGACTAGATCAGAAGAAAAATGGTAACTCTGATACTCTGAGTCCACAAGCTTGTTTAAATCATCCACTTAAGGGCTGGAGTATTAAGATTTGGTATCTATCATGATTGTAGTGCCAGCTGATTCAATACTAAAAAGATTCTTTCTACTCTGAAACACTACCAAAAAACTCACATTTAGGGTTTACCCAAAAGTTCCACTAAGTCACTAGATATACATTTAAAAGATAAATTAGAATATTGTCCAATGGCATTTAGAGTAGGACATGGGGCCAGAGAGATGGCTCAGTGGTTAAGGGCACTGGGGGCTCTCTCAGAGGAACCAGGTTCAGTTCCCATCACTCACATGGTGCTACCCTTTGTAACACCTTTGTAACAGTTCTAGGGGATCCAGTGCCTCTTTTGGTGAGCACCAGGCATGTACATGGTGTACAGATATACATGCAAGAAAACACATATATACATAAGGAACTGTGAATTATCATTATTATTATTATTATTATTATTATTATTATTATTATTTTGGTTTTTCAAGACAGGGTTTTTCTGTGGCTTTGGAGGCTGTCCTGGAACTTGCTTTGTAGACCAGGGTGGTCTTGAACTCACAGAGATGAATAGGGCATTATTTATTAATGCATCTGCATTTAGAATACATGTGAGGGAAGCATGCAAACACTAAGCTCTCTGCATAGATAAGTAATATGTCAGGTTCAATGTTAAGTAACTTACATTTTGTGATTTAAAAAAAATGTAATCAATTAATTGATGGATGTTTCTGACTCAGCTATGTTATTTAACCCAGGCTGATCTTGACTTTAAGGCACTCCTTCTTAGGCTCTTGAACGCTGGGATTACAGTTATTAAACAGCAAGTCTGGCAGCACTAAGCACAATCTTATCTTTACTATTATCTGAGAGATAATGACTACATTTTATGGATATGGGAACAGGCTCAGAATTGAGGATACAGGAAGAATACTGTAACTAAGTAGTATACAGAACTCATTAAGTCACCGGGCTATTCTAGAAACCAGCTTCTAACTGCCAGGATTGGAACCTCTTTACACACTCTGGAAAAGTTAACATTACACCAGCTTTGTTGGAAATCAAACATCCTAGCATCATTTCTTAACTGTAACTATTAGCAATCTCTAAAAATACACTAAAGAGCCTTAAAAGATGACCTGTTGGTACAGACTTATAGATAACAAGAGCAAAATCACTGTCCTCCAAACTCTACAGAAAAAAAAAAAGTCTTTAACACTGGCCTATGAGACTACTGAGGAGAGAGACCAGCAGACCATAGTAAAAGTAAATCCTTACCAACTGCATCAACAGCCATTCCTCTTCTCTTTCTAGTTCTCAAATTTAACAAAGCCTCATTTTGGGGGCAGGTAAACAATGAGTATTTGTCGTGACTTGGTTCAGAATCCGTCAGCTCATCATCTTCCATAAAAGCTTTGGCAATCTCCACCGCTTCTGTTTCAAAACAGTTCTCTGGCTTTTTGTCGAAAGCAGAACAGTCTCCTACATTTGTTCTCACAGGGACATCAGGACAAGTTTCCATTACACCACTTTCTGTTTTTATATTTTGAGGGAAGGTTTGTTCTTTTTCCAGAAGGGATACTTTGGTTCCTAATACCAACCGTGTGTCTTGCTTAAACTGAGAGAGTTGGGGAGAAGCTTCAAGAGAATGAGTATTCCCCAAAGAAGCACTTTCTTTATAGTTGTTTGGTAAACTGAATTTATCATCATAGGTTTTCTGCAATTTAGAGTTTATAGGGTATTCTGGGGTTCTCTTTTCAACACAATATTGAGGAAGTATTTTTGATACACCTTCAGATGTAGGTGGACACTGGAGAGTATGTTCAGTTCCGATCAAATCAAATTCCTCTAACATTCCCTTAACTTTGTGTAAGGCACTTTCTGAAACTGTGACCCGTTTACCACCTGCTGTACTAAATCCAGAGAATACAGATGAATTGGCATTGCTTGCAAAGGTTTTTGGGAGTGACAATACATCCTCAGGGTTATGTGTCACAGAGTTTTCTCTTCTCCCAGAGTGGTCTGATTGTTCATGACTTTCCAGAGACAATGTGGAAAGTAACTGTTTAGCACCACCATCCATCTCAGAAAACACTTGCCTTGCCTTTTCTAATGAAGCGTCTGATACCTGTACAGCTTTTCCACTTGCTGTGCTAAAAATCCCCGGCATGTGTGAAGAACAGGCTGCCTGTGCAAGTTCCCTTGTAGATTTACACTTATCCCAAGTTTCCAAGTGAACAGGTGGTATTTGAGCTTTCTCCAGTCCAGACACACTTAGGTTATGCTGTAATATTTGTTCATCGTGGGTATAAACAGAAGTCTTATGTGAGTTCATATAGTCATCTTCTAAAGAGCTAGGACATATAAAATCCTCTGAATTATCCAATGCTTTCTGACAGCTTGTCCGGCAAGTATCTGGTTTACTCTTTGTGTTTTGCTTAATTGTTTTATCACTGTTATGTGTAAATATTGCTTTTACTGTTTTCACAGTTTCTTGTGAGTGATCTGTAATGAACTTGGATGGGCATACCTTACAATTCCTTGAATCTGCTATAGCCAAGTCAATGGCTACATTTTTATTTGTATGTGGTGAAGAGTTAGTCTCAAGTTTCTGAACACAAATATCTTCATTTACAGTTGGCGGGTATATATTTACTTCTTTTGTAGCATATACACTGGAAAAATTGGCAGTGTCTTCATTCTTCGTGTCTGGCTGAGTATCAGAATAAATTTTATTTTTTGAGAAATATCCTGAGTCATTATGCTTGTTATCACAATGACAACCAAAATGGGATGGACAGCTATGACACATGCTAGGGTCACTAAAGAGGGCTGAAGTTTGATTTTCAGAGACACAATTTATATCAACTTCATTTCTGATACTGTCTAAACTATGCTCACATGAGGCATCTCCAGCATAACCCTCAGTATGTTCTTTTACACATTCAATTTCGGCAGCATCTCTTTTTTGAAGCTTATCACCCAGTCGGTCTCTAAGCCATTTTCTGTCTTTGGATAGAGAAGACTCACTGACACAAGTTTTTCTACCGTGTCCTGTGTCACATGTCAAAGCAGAATCTTCAGTGACTGAATAAGATAAATGACTAATGCAGCAAGTTGTAGGACTTTTTTCTATTTCACTTTCTATGTTTCCATGTACATTAGCTTTAGAAGAGGTACCATTTGATGTTCTGAGATTTTCAGTCGACCTATACAAACGATCACTTTGCTTAGATAGCACTTCAGACTCCTTAGAGAGAAAGCTCTTCTGCATTTCTTCACACTTGGAGGCAGGTATTTCAATTGTCTCACATCCTAATGCAAGTCCTTCTTTGCAGTTCTCTCTGTCCTTCAAGGGTTTTGACCCTTGATGACTAACATACTGTGTCTCATCAAAAAGGTTTTTCACTTTGTCTAAAGATTTCTGCATAATTTTGACTTTTTTTCCACTAGCGGTATGAAAACCCAACAGAGCAGGTTCTTTGATACTTTCTATTTCACATCTAGGATGCTGCTGGAGAGTTGGTAATTGACTGACAGTCCCAACTGGGAAACGTTCTTCAAATACCTTTTTAGTACTGGTAGTTTCCTTGTGATGTGAAATACCCATCTTGTTGTTATTTGTGCCACAATGAAATTTAGAATTCAAAGAATCTGAAGAGATGATCGATTCATCTGTTACTTGATTTAAAATATTCATACTTTTACTTAATGACTCCTCAGAGACTCTGACATTTTTCCCACTTGCAGTCTGAAAGGATATATTAAAATCTTTTCTATTTTGTTCCATCTTACCTGAAGGTAATTGTTCTTTATCTGAAGGTTGAATATAGCATGTTTCCTCAGCTTTCATGACTTCCAAACATGTTAAATCTGATACACATTCCTTAATTTGTGTGTTTTCCTCCCTTACATATTGGGAACACGACTCAGGGTACTTGCTGCAGTGATCAGCAGCACATGGTAAGTCACCATCATCTTGATGAACAGAAACTGTGCCGCTTGTACTTGATTCACTATCCTCCGAGTTTTTTAATTTATAAGGACTTCTTTGAAAACCAGTAGAGTTGTTATCTTCACATTTTGTATTTCTTGCATAATTTTCAGGATTTCTGTCAACAAAAATACCAGTAGTCACTTCGGTATTATTCTGTAATGTTACTTGGCACTTACTAGTTTTCTCATCAAAACTTTTACCACTGTTTTGTTTCCTTATCTTAAACACAGAAGCACCAGAATCATGACGAGCACCTGAAGACAAAGCTCTTGGGTCGACTTTTGTGGAAGTCTCCTCACTACCACTTTCAATGTCACTGAAGAGTTTCACAGCTTTTTGCAGAGCCTCACTAGACACACTAAGCTTTGTGCCAAGAGCAGAACGAAATCCTCGAAACTCCATTTCATTTACATTTGCTAAAAAACTAGATGTATTTTTGTTACAACTGCTTTTCAACAGGCAAGGAAAGCTTTGTCTAAATCCAGCAGAACCTTCAAATTTCTTGCTGTCATCTGTCTGAGCTACAGAGGCAGGATCCACTGTGAGATGAAGACCAATCCTTTTCCACCCCTCAGAAGTAGTATTTATGGCAACCGTCTGTTTTCCAGGCACTTCAGGTATATTATTCTGTGCTACATGGCTTGGCTTTTTGAACTGTGTGAATTCAAACTGACTTCCTGATTCTTCCAAGATAGTAGAAAGTTCTGTAATTTCTGCCTTTTGGCTGGGTGTTAAATTGTGATTCGAATGAAAATCTTGCTTTGAAGGTAACACCTGAAGTGATGTGTGAGTATCTTCACAAGAAACAGATGCCTGACTCTGTGGATGGGCAGACATGGTAGTGACTGACTGCAAATCAAATGTATAAGGTCCACTTAGTATCTCCTGGTTTGCTAATGGTGAGGCATTAACTATGTCAATACAGGTTAAACTAGTAGGATACTCCTCTTCAATATCTTTGAAGAACATTTTGCTTTTCTTAACATTATGTTCTGAAAGTTTTATTTCTTTATTGGAAGCTGTTCTGAAGCTACCTCCAAATTTATGCTTAAAAACTGGATCCAAAAATCCTGGCCATTTGTCTGTATAGTCATTGTTCCCATCTGATTTCACATCCAAGGAGGAATTGAAATCTTTGTCTGTGGTTCCTTTCAGATGCTGCTCTATAGTATTTCTGCTCTTCTTTGCACACTCATGGACTAAAGCTGAGGAATCGGAGTCTTCCATAATCAGTGCATGAGCTGCTTGCTCATCACCTATGTCTCCATCTACTGCTGTGGGAGAGTTGTTGAGATTAGGCCCTTTAGCATGGCGGAGGTCTTCTTCCTGCAGTTCCACAGTACTTCCTAAGGCAGTCTTATTATTTTCATGAGTTACTTGAAAGGCGAAATTATTCTCATTGTCTGGGAAAAGTTCTCCAGAACTCACATTGACTGTTACTTCTGAAATAAAAGGCGTTTCTTCTTGGTCATTTTTTTTGACTGCTAGATTTGTATTCTGATTGAACTGAGACTTCACTGTGGGGGATGCTTCTGTTACATATTTTCCAGGTGGCAGAAGCTCAGGAGGTTTAGAATTTTCACTTAGGATGTGTATTTTATTTCCTCCCAAGGGAATGCTTTTGCTTAATTCAGTATTATCTTTATAACTCTCACACTGCAGTTTCTCTGGCATTTTACATGACACTTTTCCTCTAGAAAGCACAACTGGCTTTGACAGAAGCACCTTCAAGCTAGGAGTTTCTTTAGGACTTGTACTATTGTGGCCATTGACAGGGTCTTCCTGTAATTCAAAGCTAATGCTGCTGGGCTGTGCTGCTGCTGTGTGCTGTCCTGCAGGATGACATGCTGAGACTAAGACTTCTTCTTTTCCATCTGAAACTTTGGGACCCTTTGGATCATATTCACATTGTCTTTCTGGCAAGCACGACAGACAATCAGTTTCCAGGGCTGTATGTGGCTGCAGTTTTTCTTCACTGACTATTGCTTCTTTGTCATGGAGATCCTGAGATATCAATGCATTACTATAACTACTTTCTTTCTTGGAAGCAGTCACAAATGAGGTGGATAAGGACAAAGATGGCTCTTCAGCATCATTCTGTAAACAGCTTCTTTGGAGAGAAGAATCTGATAAACCTAAACATAAGAATACACAGTGACAGAACAGGTTAAAGTGCTACTAATTGCATCTACTCAATGCTTTCCCCATGTTAAAAGTGTTTAAAATAAGAAGAGCAAGAGCAATTAACAGATTCAAAACAGAACCCTTCATAGTCACAACTCTGAAGTTACTAAATTTCTAGATGAAGGGGCTGAGATGCTAGCTCAGTCAGTAAAGGGCCCATCATGAAGACCTGAATTCATGATCCCTAGTACCCACATGTACCCACATAAAAAGCAGGGTGTGGCAGTGTGTATCTGTCAACTCCAGTGCTGTAGGACGGGGAACAGAGGCAGGCAGATCTCTGGAGCACAAGCAACTCTTCAGAACTCTAGGACCACCAACCTAGTCACCAAACCTTTTACATTTTCTTGTAGGGAGATAAAACTGATTTTGGGTGGTGCAGGTTTGAAGGGGTATGGAGGCAACAGGTCTGTCCTCAAATTCCTAGGCTCAAATGATCCTCCTGCTTCAGCTTCCCAAGTAAACACCACTTTGAGTTCTCCAATTTGCACATAATAAACACTTTTAAGCAGGAGCTAAGCAGTCAGGTTCCTAATATATATAGATAGAAAGCTGTCTCAGAAGCCATGAAGCAGGACACATCAGTGCATGTCTGTGGTCCCAACTACTTGGGAGCCTAAGGCAGGAGGATCAGTCAAGACAAAGTTCAAAGCCAGTGTAAAACACAAAAGGGGGACAGATAGCATGATGGCTCAGTGGGTCAAGGCATTTGCCATGAAGCCTGAGGACCTGAGGACTACATGGTAGGTAAGACACAACTAGACAAGTTGTTCATTGACCTCCACACATGCACCCTGTGCCATGCATATGCCCACACACATATGTATAATAAATATTATAAAAAGCCAATACACACACACACACACACACACACACACACACACACACACACATATATATTTGCATACACACTCAGTGCAAAATGATCCAACAAGTTTGAATGACACAATTCTAAACCCTGAATCCAAAGTCTCAACAATAATGTATATAAATAAGCACTGCTTGAGGTTAATATGAGACCTAAAAGACTACAGAAAGAAAGCAGGTGTTTCTTTTCAAAAAAACTTTAAAAATCACATATTCAAATAAGAGGACTTAATCTCACCTATAAAACTATATATACACTAGAAGAAATAAAGAGGAATACCTGAATTCCCATTTGTAAACGTGAATGGCGCTTCAAAAGCACTTGTTTCGAACTGAGCAGAAGTGTTAGTGAGCTCTGACTTTCTGTCTGCCTGTAGTATTTTTCCTTGATGAGATGCACTGTCACCGACAGAGTAAATAAACTTTCTTCTTTTAGTTTTTAGACTGGATATTAAACCTGTATTGTTCACAGTTGCAGAAGTGTGAGTGAGAGTTGATGGCCAGTTTCCAGTGTCACCTGAACTAGGACACAAAGAATCCTCTCTCTGTGAGGACACAGCACATATTCCCAATCCACTTGCAGAGGCACTGGGTTCTTCTGTAAAGGCTGAGCTAGTCACACTCTCTGAGAAGAGATTACCCAGAGACTCTTCAAGTGGCTCTCTCAATAGGCAAGCTGCTTGACAAGTTCCAGATACCACTTGCTTCCCTGCAATGGAGTTCTCATGTGATTCAAGATGCTGTCCCTCATGTTCCTTATCTACCAGAGTTTTCTCACAGAACATCTTTTCTGGTTCTGGAAAACTAGAAATATGAGGCAAAGAATTTTCTAAAGTAACAGAGTCAATACCTTCTTCCTTCGTATCTATGAAGTCTTTTTCTGAATTATTTTGGTTACAAGAAGAAATAGGAGGTAGAGGTATTTTTCCCTTCTGGGTACCAGTTAGACGAGAAAGGGTTAGCTGAGACCATCGAGTGTCTGAAGACTGTACAACTTCCTCGCAGATTTCCTCATTCCCATTGTCAAAGCATTTCTGGTTTGTCACATCTGGATCTAAGGGATCACTATCTCTTGGGTCAATTTCAAGTGCAAATGAATGTTTTCCATCAGCTCCACTTCTAGTTTCTTCACTTAATTCATCAGTTCTTATTTCACTGAAAATTTTCTTCCTGGTCTTGCCCATTCTCATTTTTTGCATTTTTCTGGTTTTATGCTTAGGAAAACATAATGAGAAACTATCTTCTTCAGAAGTATCTGCAGCTGTCTCCCCATCTTCTAGAACATTTGGTATTGACTGCCTAAGGCAATCTTTGAAGCTGTTTGTTTTGCCAGATGAATCCTCTAACGTTTTCCCCAATCCTGTTACAATTCAAAACAAAAGCACATTATAACATTTATAATGCAACCATATTCTTTATATTATTCTCACAATTCTTCTCAGAGATGATTCATATTAAATAATACACAATTCTGCAGTAAGGGGTTACTATGAATGCTAATTCTTCTTCTGGCAAGTCATTCTCCTAGAACCTGATCCAATGTGCTCAAAGTCTTTACTCAGACTCCAGTCTGTAAAACATCTTATCACTCTGCACAATCAAGGGCTGCCTTTGAAAGTGCTATCTTGCCAGGCGTCTGTAGTGGACACCTTTAATCCCAGCACTTGGGAGGCAGAGGCAGGTGGATCTCTGTGAGTTTAAGGCCACCCTGGCCTTAGAGTGAGTTCCAGGACAGCCAGGACTGTCACAGAGAAACTGTCTGGAAAAACCAAAACAAAGGAAAGTGCTATCTCCTCCTCCATTTAGTAGTCAAAAAACTGTCAACTCAAATGCAGCCAATCAATTCTGTATTACTGCAACTAGGAAGAAAACCCATCAAGTTAGTTTCTATCTTCTGTATCCTGATGTCAGAAGTTGAGAAAGGAAAGCAGTGACATTTCTCCTGAGAAAAGAACAATGACATCAATCAAGATCAGCAGCTCAACGAAACAGGAATATTTACCATGACTAAAAGCTTCCCTCTGGTTTTTGTTCTCGCTGTCAGTCACAGAGGGAACTGATATACCACTCTTTTTCAGACTTTCATTGTGGCTGGAAAAGTAGCTTTTCAAAACCTGCTGAAATTATTTTCAAAATCATTAAATAGTATAACCCTTTCATTGTACACATATATGCATATTACCAAACAGAAAGATGGGAAAATTTTTGTAGAAAGAAATTACATACGGGATCAGGTTTAGAAACATTCCCAAAAGCTTGGGAAAATTATAAATTGTAGTTTTAAGAAAATGCAGGAGAGCTGCATAGTGACACACACATAATCCTAGAACTTGGGAAGCAAAGTCAGGAAGACCATTAAGTTTGAGGCTGGAATGATTTACACAACTAGTTTCAGGCTAGCCAGAGCTGCATAGCAAAACCCATCTCAAAAAAGCCAAAAAACAAAAATAAAAATAAACCCAAACCAAAACAACCACCACAAAACCCAGCTGAGGAGCTATGATGTAGCTCTGATGGTTACTGGGGAAGGGAAAGTCATTTGGATGGAGAGTGGGGCCACTGATGGGTTGCTCATCCTCCAATGCGCAGCCCCACAGCCGCGTGTATCCAGGGACACTAATTGGATTCAGGGGATCATTTTAAGAAGAAAGATAAAGAATATATTAAAGTTGGGAGTGGGTCTTGTTAGGGAAGATCAAGGGGCAACTGGAAGAGGAAGAGAGGTCAAGTATGATCAAAATATACACATGTATGGCCACTTCAGAGAATTAAAAAAAATTTTTTTTGACACAGGGTTTCTCTGTGTAGCCCTGGCTGTATGTAAGCAAACACACACACACACACACACACACACACACACACACTAAAGCATTAAAAAAGAACAACTGAATGTATTCTGATCGAGGAATGCCATGAGTATCACCAGTCTGATGCTGACTTACAGCGGGGGAGTCTTCAGGAAACACAATTCCTCGTGCTTCCCCATCTCGGGCTGTAAAACAGAAATTAAATTTAGCTGTACTGTATTATATTATAGTGTACACCAAAATTAACAACAAACAGTTCTTTTTGGAAATAACTCTGCCTACACATTACTATTTGATAAGTAGCAGCATATCTAAAACAAAATTAAGTGACCAAAGCCAGCAATGAGAAAGGCCAACTTGGACTGAGTTGACTGACTTGTCACATTGTTTCTTCTTCTTCTTCTTCTTCTTCTTCTTCTTCTTCTTCTTCTTCTTCTTCTTCTTCTTCTTCTTCTTCTTCTTCTTCTTCTTCTTCTTCTTCTTCTTTTTTTGGTCACATTGTTTCTTAATGCCACTTGCAAGGTGGTAAGAAATGGAGCTGGGCATTGGTGGCACAGGCCTTTAATCCCAGCACTCGGGAGGCTGAGGCAGGTGGATCTCTGTGAGTTGAAGGCCAGCCTGGTCTACAGGACAAGTTCCAGGACAGGCTCCAAAACAATACAGAGAAACCCTGCTTCGAGAAACAAAAACAAACAAACAAACAAACAAAAAAGGTGGTTTGGTGATATATGCTTTATGATAATATTCTCTACAATGGCAGATAAAAGACCTGTAAGGCTGTGACTTCAAAACTGCCCTGGAACTTTACCCTCTAGTTAGACAATGATATAGCCCACAGGCATAATTAATACTAACTACTTCTCAGCTTTCAGCCTTTTTGCTTTATTATTTCACATAAGCAATAAAATGAAATCCAATCACTTCTGGCTAAACGGATCAAAATGAAATGTTATTTGGCTAGAATCATCCCAGCCCTGAAAATTATCCTCTGACCTCACACAAGTGCTGTGGCATTTGCACATGTGCATATTTGCACACAGAATAAAACAAAACCCACAAAAAGAATTATGGTATGAGTATAAACTCATAATTGGAAGAGCAGTACACTGTCTTGTGAATGAGCACATCTACATAATGTGGTTAAATATTATGAGTGAATGTGTATATGAAGTTATCATACACAGATGACACAGCACTAAAATATAATGTGATTCTTTGATAGCACTTTGGACAAAACAGGAGAAAATTATTCTGAACTACAAACACATTCAGCACACAGCAATATCTGAGTTAGCTTTCATGTCTACTTACTTTTTTAATCTTTGTTTTTATTTTATGTGTATGGGTGTTTTGTCTGCATGTATGTATGTATGTGGACCACATGCACGCAGGAGTCTGTGGAAGCCAGAGGAGGGCATCAGATCCCCTGGAACTAGAGATTTGTTTTGTTGTTGTTTTGTTTTTTTCGAGATGGGGTTTTTCTGTGTAGCCCTGGCTGTCCTGGAACTTGCTCTGTAGACCAGGCTGGCCTTGAACACAGAGATCTGCCTGCCTCTGCCTCTGCTGGGAGGATGTGCCACCACTGCCTGGCTTGGGATTGGAGTTATTATGGATAGTTGTGCTGAGAACTGAACCAGGGTCCTCTGCAGGACAGCAAATGCTTGTAACCATTGAGCATCTCTCTAGCCCTCCCAGGTTTAATTTTAACACAAGGTTGGAGATGACCATTTAGCAGCCTCAGCTACCTCTTCCTGTAGAGTACACATTTGCCATCATTACCTATGAGCACAGTGGAACTAAGGGTTGGTGGTGTAGCTAATGAACTGGACCAAGACATATCAGGATCCACCTCAACTCCCAGACTTTCAGAAATAGGTTTAGGTGTCTGACCCTATAAAGAAAGACAAAAGTTTAATTTACAGAAACACTGGTGATTTTTTTTTTCATTCATACTTTATGCCTCTGTGAGACAGCATGCTAAGTACAGATCTGCAACTCACAAGTTAAGAGGTGACGCTGTCACATTCTCAACTTGCATACTGTAAGTAACCAAGCAGAACATTTACCTCCTCGATTTTTGGTGTAGAAAATAAACTTCCACACATCACTGCAGGTGAAAAAACAGAAAGTTATTAGGTTTTTATTAACATTTCTACAACCGACAAATAAAAACCAGGGGGGCTGAAGTACTTAAGAGCACTGGCTGCTCTTGCGGAGGATCTGGGTTCCTAGCACCTACAATAGGTGGCTCACAATCACCTATAACTCCAGTTTCAGGGGATCTAATGCTTGCTTCTGGACTCTGGACACCAGGAACGCATGTGGTGTACATATATACACATAGGCAAAACACTGACACAGACAACTTAAACGCAAATAAGGTCTTAAAAGACAACAAAAATAAGAACCTTTGCTATGCTCATACCTGGCTTTTCTCTTTGTGGTACAACCTGTGTGCATCGCAGAGTAAGAGGGCTAGACAAAATGAAATAATGGCTTCAGGTTAAAAGGACAACAGCAATAGCAGAGAGATCATTCTGTACTGACTCTTAGTGTTTTTATGGTTTTGGAGACAAGTGCTTGTTATATATCCCAGGCTGGCTTTACAATGGGACCCAGCTGCTTCAGCCTCCCTAGTGTTATGATATTAGGAGTGAGTTACCAGGTCTGGCCCAAAGAAAATGTTTCTAACATGAAAACTACTCAGCTAAGGAATCTATTGCACATTATTTAAAAACAGAAGTTTTTCCAGGAGATGCTCACTCAAAGCAATTTGGATGACAGACATATGCAGGAAAATGTTTTATTTAAACACATGGTGGGTCATGACAGAATCCACAGCCTTATGGGAGGTTAAGGCTGGGAAATTTTGAGTGCAAAGCCAGCCTGGACTGAAGTGTGAGACCAAGCCTTGAAAACAAACCAATACAACATGTCTGTCTGTATGTACTTTTAAAAATATACACCAGGATCATCATACCTTTCACTGAGACAAGACTTCAGAGGTGGACTGGCAACATCAACCATGGAGTCCATTTTGGCCTTGGTTCTGTGGTGATTTTTATGTCTACTATTTCCAAGAGTCTTCCCTGAAACAGTAAAATAATCCAGTGAGGGTGTAGACTCTGTGAACTTTGAACTTTTACATTTTGAACTTAACAGAAAAAGAATGTACAGTGAGCTGATGCCTCCTACAGAAATGCATGTCAAGAGGTAATGTATACCCTATGCTATGGCATCACGGAAGGTAAAAATAAAGGGAAACATTGAACAGAAACCCACCAAGTCCAATCTGACGTATCAGTCTGTGAAAAGTTTTCATCATTCAATTTCAGACTCCTGAATAAAAAAGTGGGAAAATAAGGCCTTCATGACTGCAACTTCCCCTCCTTCCTTCTCTTTGGTGCTAGAGACTGAAACTGGTAGTGGGGGCGGGGGCTGGAGAGGTGGCTCAGCATTAAGAGGCCTGGCTGCTCTTCCAGAGGATCCAGGTTCAATTCCCAGCACCCACATGGCAGCTCACACCTGTATGTAACTCCTGTTCCAAGGGTGCCAACTCCCTCACACAGATATACATGCAGCCAAAATACCAATGTACATAAAATAAAAATAAATAATCAAATGATAAACACGTACCCGACCAAATTATCTCACTAGCCTGATGGCTTCATTTGACTTGGCTGGTAAGATGCTGTTCTTTCCCATTCCACTTTTGGTTGTACCCAACCAATAACTACTCTAAAAGAGTGCAGACCTATGTACAAGCTGTTTGTCTCCCTTTCCCTATTTCCTCCCCAGTCTGGGGTTACAGCCCTGGTTGTTTTGGAACTTGTTATGTACACCAAGCTGGCCTTGAACTCAGATTCATTTACCCCCGCCTCCCAAATGCTGAGATTAAAGGCTTGCACCACCACAGTCTTTCACTTTTTTCTTGACTGAACATCTACTTTCAGGCTTCAATTAAGAAAACTGACTAATCTAATCCTCACCTGGTAGGAGAGATGCCCTGGACAAGAAGGAACCACCCAATTCAGAAATCCTTAGTGGTTTTGAGGGTAAAAGTATGTGCCTGCCCTTCTGTATGTTCCCCAGGGGTCTCACACTGCTCCTGCTTCACCCAGTGCTCGCTGAGCTTCCTGCCTGCCCTCCTATGTGTTTCCAGGGGTCTCACACTGTGCAGTTTCTCCCAGTGCTGTGAGCTTCCTGCGGTAGAAAGTCTGTTCTTTACCACATCCATAGTGAACACAACACCACATGACATGTCCACTGAGCACATCATGAAGTAGTACTCTAAAGGGAAGTGCACACTTATGGCAAGTAGGTAATAAACATTCCCAAGACTGAATAAATGAACACCCTTACTAAACGGGTGTTTACAAACACCTGGCACGCAGTCAGAAGAACTGCTGTCAGATTAACATATTCCCAAGAAACTGATGAAGAAATCCTCCATCCTGTCCTAACATGCAGAGACATAGCTTAGTCAACATCAGCAACAAGTCACAGGCTGCAAGATATCAGAGTCCTAATTCAGAAAAGTCTCAGTATTTGTACTAATACTTAGCATATTAGTCATAGGAGGAAGGAAAAGAAGCATTATTTATTAAATACTGAAATTACTTCATTGAACCCAAACCTATCACATATTATGTCCACCATCTCCATTCTCCAGTCAAGAAAGATTGATTAGCACAACAAAACCCAGTTTATCACAGAGCTGTGATTTTTACACACAACCTTGCCTGATGTTTTAGCTCATATCCCCTCCATCACATTGAATCATTTGCACAAGTTTAATCTATAGTTAACTAATTTTTTTTTTTTTCTTTTTGAGACAGGGTCTCTCTATTCTGTAGCTCTGGCTGTCGTGAACTCTGTATGTAGATCAGGATGGCCTCAAACTCACAGAGATCCGCCTGATTCCACCTCCCAAGTGCTGGGATTAAAGGCGTGCACCACCACCACATCTGTCTATAGATACCTAGTTCTTTGAAAGGCGACTGGTCTACTGGTAGAGTTTGACCTTGTTCATTGAATATTATTGGAGTTGAAGCCAACAGATGGTAAGAGAGCTTCCTCTGTGGCGTTTTAAACAGCTGTGGCTCATAATTGTTGGTCTTATATTCATATTCTTCTGGAGGCTCAAAATTATATGGTGGGGCTTCTGAAGAAAGTTCTTCAAACCAATTCAGGCTTATAGGTCCTAAGTCTGCAAGAAAAGCAAAAATCCCATCTTAGATTTAATCAGCGACACAGAGAAACCATGAGCAATGAAGACTGTAATAAAGAACAGGGCTAGTAAAGATCATTCGAATACACACCTTGTGCCATGGGATATGTGTGCAAAAGCACATGCATGCACACATACATGCAAAATCGATAAAAAAAAAACGCCAAAAAGGCTCAAAGATCATAGCAAAGAATAAAGGAGAGGTCACGGTTGTACTTGCCTATTAGTCCAGTTTCCAGTAGGTCTGAGGCAGGAGGACTAAAGATTGAAAACAGCTCAGGCTACACACTGAGACCTTCATTTCAAGAAACAAAGCAGTACCAGCAAGAAGCTTCAGCAGGTAAAGTTGCTTCCTGCCAAGCCTGGAGACCTCAGCTCAAGACCAGAATCCACATGGTAGAAGCAGAGAAGTGACTCTTGCAAGTTGTCCTCTGACCACCCCACCACCCTTTCCCATCTATAATAAGATCTGATTCCCTCTTCTGGCCTACAAGCACACATGCAGGAGGAACACTGTATAATAAAAAAAAATAACAAAAGGAACTTGAAATTTTGACTAGCAGGGCATGGTGGTAAACACCTATAATCCTATCACTTGGGGATTGACGCAGGAAGATCTCAAGTTTGAGGCTAGCTATATAAAAACCATTTCTCAGCTGGGTATGGTACCATACACTTACAATTCTGGCATTTAGGAGGTTACAGAAGGAGGACTGTCATAAGTTCCAGGCTGGCTTGCCTACATAGTGAGATTCTATCTTTAAAACTAACCAAGAAAAGCTCGGGGTGGGGGTGGGAAAGGAGGACTATCTTTTTTTAAAATTTTTATTTATAAGCATTAGTGTTTTGCCTGAATGTATGACTGGATGAGGGTGTTGGGTAGCCTGGAACTGGAGTTACATTACAAACAGTTGTGAGCTGCCATATGGGTGCTGGGAATTAAACCTGGGTCCTCTGGAAGAACAGCAAGTGCTTTTAACTGCTGAGCCATCTCTCCAGCCCCAAGAGCCTATGAAGAAGAAGAAAGAAGAAGAAAAAGACTCCATAATCTAGAGCATACCAAATATAGAAAACAAAGCAAAACAAAAAGAACAAGAAAAAAAAAAAGGAATTGTGACTGTGGATTACTTTAAGGTTCATTAAGCAAGATCATTAATCTACTCTTTTGAAAGTGCAGCAAAAAATAATTTCAAAAACTTAAAAGGAAGGCTGGATGGTGGTGGCAGTGCACGTCTTTAATCCCAGGCGTGGGATTAATCTTGAGAGGCAGAGGCAGGCGGATCTTTGTAAATTCAAGGTCAGCCTGGTCTACAAAGCTATATGGAGAAACCACATCTCGAAAAACCAAAAACCAAACCAAAACAAAACAAAAACCCAAAACTTAAAAGGAAATAGAATTTAGCTATATTATCTTTTTTACTTTCTTAACAACAATCATCAATTCAGGAAAAATAAAACACCAAACTATTCACAGTTAGCATGTACTGCATTGATAAAAAAAAAAATGATTTCAAAGACTGTCAGTAGGACAAATCTCTTTGTGAGTATGGGTTAAAGAAACACTTTACACTTTCAAATAAATATGAAAAAGATTCTTACATGGCAATGACATAATGTCTAACATGACACACCCACCCTATATAGCAGTTTCTCAGATTTCAGGAGGTTCAATAAGCTAAATCCATTTTCATAATTAGACCACGGTGTCCTTTGCCTTTTTCTTTTTTTGGGGGGGGGTGGGAATTTCAAGACAGGGTTTCTCTGTGTAGCTTTGGAGGCTGTCCTGGAACTCATTCAGTAGAACAGGTTAGACTTGAACTCACAGAGATCCGCCTGCCTCTGCCTCTACCTCCCGAGTGCTGGGATTAAAAGCGTGTGCCACCAACGCCTGGCTATCCTTTGCCTTTTTCACAAAGTCAACATCTTCATCAGCTGAACAAGGATAAGGTAGGTATCAACTGGTGCATCTCCATGATAGGAGGAAGTGGACCCAACTATACCAGTGCTTAACATTTCCTACCAACCCAAGGGGAAGGCCAGGGACTCACTAACAAAGTAGAAATGAACCGCATGAAGTAAGTGTATCTTTAAATCTTATTACCGTGTATATGATGTATGTGGGTGTGCATGTGGGAGTCAGAGGACAACTGTGCACAGCTGCTTCTGTCCTACTTTCATGTGTCTTCTGGGCAACAAACCGGTCACCAGACCTATGTAGCACACACCTTTACCCATTAAGCCACCTAAATTTGACCAAGCTTAAATTCTTCAGCACACCCTTCCAATACTTTCTGAGAAACAGCATTTCTGCAGACTGAAATCTACCAGGAAAGCACTTGTGATGAGCTGTGAGCAGAACTCGTACACTTTCCACAAAAGGCCAAGTGTTCCAATCTGAAGAGTTTGGCAGACATTTTCTCAAGAATGTGGTGAGCTTATCATAGTAAAAAAAAAAAAAAAAAAAAAAAAAAAAAAAAAAAAGGGGCTGGAGAGATGGCTCAGAGGCTGAGAGCACTGGCTGCTCTTCCACAGGTCCTTAGTTCAATTTCCAGCACCCACATGGTGGCTCACAACCACCTATCATGAGATCTGGTACCCTCTCCTGGTGTGCAGGCAAATATGCAAACAGAATACTGTATACATAATAAATAAAAATATTAAAAAAAAAGGTTGGCTGCTAATGACGAAATGTGAGCTTTCAAAATGAAATCAACCATTTCTAGACACTTACAGTGACTGATTTCTTCCCAACTCCAAAAGGTTTATCGGATCAGATCAGCTGCAATATTAATGGATATGACTTTCTTTTTCATGCACTCTGTCCATACTTACTTACAGTATCTAATTCAGAGCCAGGTGTGGCTGCTCACATTTCAATCCCAATATGCAGGACGATCACAGCAAATTTGAAACCAGTCTGATCTACATAGCAAGTTTTAAATCAGCCATGGTTACATAGCAAAATGTCCTTAAAACAGGAAAAATGGGGCTGGAGAGATGGCTCAGTGGCTGCTTACTGCTCTTGCAAAAGACTCAAATTTAGTCCCTAGCACATACCCACACCAAACAACTCACAACCACCTGTAACTCCAGCCCCAGAGCATCTGATGCTCTTTGGACCTCTGCAGGCACCTATACACACAGGCATATACCCACACACAGACACACACAAAGACACACAGACACAGACACACACACACACACACACACACAGAAAAAGAGAGAGAGAGAGAGAGAGAGAGAGAGAGAGAGAGAGAGAGATGGTTTAAAGTATTAAAAATAAATCTAAATGATGACAACTGTTCACCGGCAGCAGCATCAGCGCTTCTGATTTGCTAGGAGCACTTTCTGAACAATTCTTTCCACTAGAAGTCACAGTACTAATCTCCCATCTATTTAGGTACCCTACATCGTCTGGTTGGTGAGGGAAAGACGTTACCTAGAGCTATGACTCCACAAGCTGTTTTCAGCACAAAAGAAAACTGTCAAGCACTGAGTTATTTTATTGGTCTTGTGTCCCCCTTACTGGCCTTCAGCTCACCGTGTGGCTGAGGATGGCCTACAACCTCTGACCCTCCTGCCTCTACCTCCCAAGTTGTGAAACTACAGGCATCTGCTAATGCCTGGCCTTGAACTCATATTTAATCCACCTGGCTCAGTCGTTTGGGATTATAAATGTGAGCCATCACACCTAGCTCAAGCATTTTTTGTTTGTTTTTCTAAGACGGGATCTTTCTATGTAGCCCTGGCTATCCTGTATCTTGTTATGTAGACTAGACTGGCAGCAAACTCACAGAGCTCCACCTGCCTGTGTCTCCCAAGTGCTCTTGTTGGTTTTTTGTTTTTGTTTTTGTTTTGTTTTGTTTTCTGTTTTTTTTTTAAAGCAAGCATTCACCTTAACATTATTGAAAACATTTTCTCTCAATGAGACTTAATTTACCAAGTTTCATAAAAACTCATCAATACCTGCTGTGCTGCATCGTGCCTTAAAAATTTCAAAAAAAGTTGGTCTCCTTTTGTATTCATTGGACATTTTCTCTACAGTATTTCTCCGATGCTTGGTAGAGAATCTGCAAAAGAGAAAGTAAAATACACTTCACAGGGTTGCTTTCTTGGTGACAGGTAAAATCAGAAGCGCTGCTAAGTCTGTCCAATGAGACAACCTTAGGCCCACCTTTTGGGACAAGAACAGAATTTACCATGAGGATGGGGACAGTTTATAATTGTGCTTAAACCAAGTGGCTACTAGATACATCAAATGCACCAGAAAGTGGATATGGTGCGAGTCAGTAACACGTTTTTAATATTCTTTAACATTAATCACGTTTACCTAATTACGGAGCTGAGTTGACATAGACACTTCAGAACAGAGCGCTACTGCAGGCTCTAGGGACCCGCCAGATTCCTGTGGGAGGGACGCGGCGAGCTGCAAGGGGCTGGGCGGGAACCTGCCTGGGGCTGAGCCGGGTTGGGCGGCGGCCCAGAAGGAGGTCGAGGGGCTCCTCCGGGATGTCAGGCGTGCCCCCGACGGCCCCTGCGACCCCGGAGCGAGCGTCCGCATGTACCTGGCCCCACTGACCCGCTCTGGCTGCAGTGGCTGACAGACGCCGCGCCGTCTCACTTCACAGGATGGCGCGAAAAGCCCGCTCTGTGCCCTGACGTCATGACTCGGCGACGGGGACGCCGTGCGAGCGCCGACCGGAAGCCAGGGCAGCGGGTCTCCCTGTCGCTGTTCGCGGCGGTCTCTGGCCATACCTCGTGTACTCCTTTCCCCACCGAGTGAAACCAGGGTCAAAGCGCAGACCTTTCCCCCAGAACACTCGCCCATCCGCAGCCACTCTGAGTCCCCGACACCTTTTCTACCCCTCGAGCCCACGTTTGTCTGGTCTTGGCGCCCTGGGGACATGTGGGTGGGTCCCTTGCGGTTTCTTCTTTCCTAATCGATGTGGGTTGTGAGGGGTCTCTGACCATCTCCAGCAGGGCAAACATGGCTTTGGCAGGTCTTGCCTTCCTCCCCTATCCCCTCTGCCTTGCTAAAAACCGTTAGGTTGCACTCCCAAAGCTAGCCACCAAGATCTGTTCTCTTATTTGGACACTTCTTTCTCCGGAGGCTGACTACCAAAGTATTAAAGGCCAGAAATCCAAAGCCACCTTTGTCTCACCTACTTAACATGTCCAGTTAAAATTAAACACCTCACCGGAAGTTGGTGCCACAGCTAGTTAGTTAACTAGCCTAGTAATAGTTCCAAGTTTGAATTCTAATCCATTTGACTTCATATGCTTACCTTGTGAAATCTGCCTTGACCATATAAATAAGAATAAGGGCTGGGTGGTGGTTTCTTTAATCCCAGCACTAGGAAAGCAGAGGCAGGCAGATCTTTGAGTTCAAGGCCAGTCTGGTCTACAAAGTTAGTTACAGGACAGCAAAGACTAAACAGAGAAAACAAACAAACAAACAAAAAAAAGGGGGGCGGGGTGTGTGTGTGTGTGTGGAGAGATGGCTGAACAGTGAAGGGTACTGGCTGCTTTTCCAGAGTCCTGAGTTCAATTCCCAGCACCTATGTGGTGGCTCTAATGCCCTCTTCTGGTATGCAGGTATACATACAGATAAAGCACTCATACATAAAACACATAACTTATGTACACACCAGAAGAGGCAGAGGCAGGTGACTCTCTGAATTCAAGGCCAGCCTGGTCTAAAGAGAGAGTTCCAGGACAGTCAGGCTACACAGAGAAAAAACAAAAGAAAAACTATTTAAAAAGATGTAAAGAAGTGCTTTCTTCTCTGGGAAAGTTGGAGGAGAGAGGTGTCTCACTAAGATGGAGTAGCTGGTGTAAAGAGAACCAGTAACCCATTTCACTATCACACACTCCTGGCTTATAACTATGTCCCTCGTTGTTGGTACAAGGAGGCTCACAGCCACTGCATCTACTCTAACAAACTCCATATCTTGGAGTTCAGTTGCTTAGCTTGTTTACTACCAAGACTTACAGGATCCAACTCACTGTTTTTAAATTATCATTTTCATAAAAATATATCTAATATGCACCATGTCTTGATGCTCATATACACTGTGAATAATGAATATAAGTCACATAGCTAACAATAGTCACAACCTCACATAGTTACGTTCTATGTATAGGTGTATGATAGTATCAAATCTAGTCTCTTAGCAAAACTCTGATATAGCACAGTATTGTGTGAATGGAACTCCCTAGGAAAAGGCTGTGTCTACAAAGCTGTTGATTAAAACTTAATGACCGTGGAGAGTTTGGAATGTTTTAGGTCCAAAGCCTAATTAAACTTTATCTCATGCTGTCATTAGTTTCCCAAAGATGTATTCCTTGCCCTTCTTAGTGGTATGGGACCTAATATCCTAATGAGAAGATTAAAAAACAAAAAACCTTTGGAATGTATTAACAAAACTGTACCAACCAAAGGTCCAAGAATGCTATCAGATAGCATCTGAGGCCTGTAGCTGAGATCTCTCCCTGTCTTAGCCCTTCTCTCTGGTGTTTTTATCAATGTATTTCTTTTGGTTGTGGGCCTGGCCTTTAATGGCTGAGCTCTCTCCAGCCCCTTCAATGCATTTTTAAAATGCCTTGATTTATGACTTTCTTTGTTCTGTTACTATAGATACTTCATGAAACTGCCTCCACATTGGAACACAGAATTTGGGGTAACCTAAATCTGTGTTTCTGGGCATGATGACTGAATTTTGCCTCCCAAATAAACTGATTCTCATTTGTTTTGAGGTGAGAGCTGTGTTTTTACAACGACAATTGGTAATTGCTGACATCATACTGTGCTTTAGACTTCTAGGCTTACCTGTCCCACTTACTGTACCTTTATGCCTTTTGACCAATACCACCCCCAATGGTGATTATGCATTTGAATTCCTTAAATAAAAGGAATAAAAGATCACATGATACATTTTTTTCTGTCCAGTTTATTGTGCTTAACACAATGTCCTCCAGGTTCATCAAGAACAAAAACAAACCAGCAAGTAAGCAAGCAAAACAGGGTCTGGATGTATAGCCATACTCGTCTCAGACTTGTGAGTCTCCTGCCTCAGCCTTCCAGGCTCTGGGATTACAGGACCTTCACCACCACACCTGCTTTCTTTTCTTTTTTTTTTTGTTTAATGACTAAATGAAATTCCCACATATGACTGTTTCTTTACTTATCTGTCACCTGATACTTAGGTTGCTTCCATAGTTTAATTCTTGGATGAACATGGAGTATAGAATCTCTTACCTTCTTGATCTCACTTTCTTCAAGTGTGCATACAAATAGTGGGATTGCTAGGTCATCTGATAGTTCTATTATTTTTTTTTAAAGACTTGCTTATATATTTTAAAAATTATGTGCATTTATTTGTGTCTACACATGTGAGTGCAGGTTACAGTCCAAACAGGGGGTCAGGTACTCTGGAGCTAGAGTTACAGGTGTTTGTGAGCTACACAGTGTGGGTGCTGGGAATTGAAGCTGGTGAGAGCACTATGCATACATAGCCACTGAGCCATCTCTCCTGCTCTCCTATTTTTAATTCTTGAGTAAGCTCTGTGTTGTTTTCCATAATACCTACACCAATTTACATTCTCACCAACGAGTACCAGATCAACAAAACAGTCACCAAGAGAATACATGAGTGAAATAACTAATCAAAGCCTGCTGGAGAAGACAGAAATGAAAAACAGCCTTGACGGAAAAAAATTGGAACTGCCAAGTTGAAAAGGTAGGAAAACAATTAGTAGTCCATGGACAGCTCCCTCCTTCAATTAAGGAGCTAAGGGAGCAGCTCCCACTCTGGAATAAATGAAGAAACCTGGGTGAACCTGAACCAGATCTACAAGGAAGAAGAGACAGGTGAGGGTGGAAAGCAAAACAAGAACACAAACTCCAGGAGGAAACTACCCCAATGGAGCGCTTTGTCCGAGTTCCCTGTGGCTTACACCAAGGCTATGGAAGCACACAGCCTTTGAGTCACCCTGGCCTCTGGAGACACTGTAAACAACAAGACTGGAGGCAAAACATGGGTCATCCCATTTTCCTAGCCAGGACAGGGCCTATGGTAGCAGTGAATGTCCCTGAGTTCCATGAGTACCCTTACAAGAGGGCTCAGCTTCAGGCCATTCTCACACAGATGAACCCCAACCTGAGTCTACGGCTCTGCAAGGCCAACACTAAGGAGGTGGGTGTGCAGGTGAGCCTTCGAGTGGACAAGTCGGTGCAGTGCTCACTGGGGCCTCAGACCCTACATAGCAGCTCCCACTGGGACAGAACCAACCTCAGGAAGCCTGCAGAAGCTTCCCGAAGAGGCTTGATCCAGCTACCAAAGGATGGGGAAGACAGAGAAAGCCAAGAGCTTACTGGACCTGCAGAGGCTAGTCAGCTGCTGCCACTTACATCAAGGTCAGATGGTGACAAGCAAGAGAAACTCCCACAGCTAAAGGAAGTGGGGGAGGAAGATGCCCCCAGCGCTCGGGACAGGAAAAGCAAACTGGTATGTGGAAACACAGTCACAGTCCACTTGGGAAGCTCAGCTTCCAGCCACACCGTGGCCTTCTCTCTACTCAAGCCCTCACCAGCACCATCCCAACTCCTTCCATTTCCAGAGCAGTAAGAAGTGCTAACTGTCTTGTTTCTACCTTTTCTTTGGTGAAGAAGGTGGAGTTCTGGAAGCATGTACTTTGTCTATATAGTCTGGAGTTTTTCAAGTTTTGTTAAGCTAGGGTGTGTGTGGAGCATATCTTAAAAGTCTTGTCACTATTGCAGGCAATGATGAGGGGACGGTGAGCTTCAAGTGTGTTAAAGGTGAACCTAGATTTTTATATTGGGAGATGATGGTGTTGTGAAAAACAGCCTGGAAATGTTATCCTCGAGCAAGCCCAGAAGCTAAATTAACAGAGCTACATAAGGAATAGCTGAAAGTGAGGCCCAGGAAGTAAATTGTTTCACTTAGGCTATCAATTAGAAAATGAGGATCTAGACCCCACCCCACCCCACTCCCATTAGTAAAAGACTCTCATTTCTCTTTATTTTCAGTTTTTGGAACCAAAATACGGCTATTTTCACTGTAAAGATTGTAAGACCAGATGGGAGAGTGCTTACGTGTGGTGCGTCTCTGGTACCAATAAAGTAAGCACACAGCTGTGGGGGAGGGGCACCAAGGCTTGGAAGGCACGGGTGACTAAATAAATAGATATACTATCAGAAGTGGCAATATAGCAGTTCCTAGGTGCAGCATGCGTGGGAGAGGGACACAGAGGCCTGGAAGGTGCAGGTGTTAGTGTGAGAACTCGGTTTCCACTCCTTCCCCTTTGCACCCTTACTGACAGGCAACAATGATGAATCTCATATTGACACTCCCATTGAGTGTGAATGTCAATGACTACACAAATAAGTAAATACACACATATACTACCAGGAGTGGTAACATGTAAGTCAGTAACTGCAGCACTTGGGAGAGGAAGGATCAGCTTCGAGACCAGCTGAGGCTACATAAAAAGACCTTTACCCATATCTCAAAAACAAGCAAGCTGGCTGTGGTGGCACACCTTTAATCCCAGCACTTGGAAGACAGACGAAGGCAGATCTTTGAGTTCAAGGCCAGCCTGGTCTACATAGTGAGTTTCAGTTCAGCCAGCAATACATCGTGAGACCCTATCTCGAAATGAAACAAGACAAAAACCTCTCCTGTGTCTAGCAAATCGTCTAAAAGTCATGTTTTCAGTTGGGCCTAGTCATTCAGATCTGTGGTGTGATTCTCTAGGTGACACGTTGTGCCTTAAGTACTGTTATAAACTTAACTTCCTACTTACATATTTCTTGTCTTGGGTAACTTTGGGTGTCCTCAACTACTCTACAGAGCTCCTCTATATTTTCCCCCTACCAACTTAGGCTCTTCTGAGACTAAATCTTGACATTCTTTATTGCTGGAGTTCTTTGCATTTGTCACTTCATATACAAGTAAAAACTATAAATTAAAGGTATAAATTACTTTTAACTAATAGTGTCTTTAGGTCACTTCCTTTTTTGAGACTGAGTCTCACTATGTAGCCCTGGCTGGCCTGGAACCCACAGAGTGCTGCTAGCTTCTTCCTCCCAAACACTGGCATTAAAGGGGTAAGCCACTGTGCCTAGATAGTGTAAGGTTATTTTTTTTAAGAGTTTCTATCATCTCTACAGATGTCAGGTCTTGCATTTCTGTCAAGACATTAAGCCATTCATAAAAACTGCTGATAATATATTTTAAATTCATTATCAGGTATTTTTTTATTCTTGTCTATTAACTACTTTCAGTATAATCATTCCCCCCCCCCCCAGTCCTTGGGAAACCTAGCCATTTTCCTTTCTTTTTGTTTCCCTTGAGATAGGGTTTCATGAAGCCCAATTGGGTCATAAACATGCTGTGAGGATGATCTTGAACTTTTGTTTGTTTGTTTTTGACACGGAGTCTCACTGTGTAGCCCTTGCTGGCCTGGAATTTACTGTGTAGACCAGGCTGGCCTCAAACTCTCAGAGAGCTCTTCCTGCCTTTCCCTTCTGAGTGCTGGGACACTGTGCCCTGCTTATTTTCATTTGTTTATTCGTTTATTTATTTATTTATTATGTATACAGTGTTCTGTCTGCATGTATCCCTGCAGGCCAGAAGAGGGCACAAGATCTCATTATAGATGTTTGTGAGCCACCATCTGGTTACTGGGAATTGAACTCAGAACCTCTGGAAGAGCAGCTAGTGCTCTTAACCACTGAGGTCTCTCTCCAACCCCGCTACTTATTTTCTTGAAATGTCAATTTTGTTCTTGCGGACTAGTTAGACTCCTTAAAGCCTGAAAAGTTTGTTTTCTGCAAGTGCACCTGTGGCAGCACTAGAGCCAGCTCTTTCACAGTGTAGGGTTTGGTATATACTCTGTGCGGCTGCACCTTAGTCCCTAGGCAAGAGGAGAGTCAGCCCAAGGGCAGCAGAAGTTTTCATTCAGTTTTACTCAGCTGTTTATCGTGTTGTTTGTTATCTTTTGAGGAAGGGTTTTAGGCAGCACAGGCTGGTCTTGAACTTCTGATTTTCCTGTTTCAGGTTCCTGCTGCTGGGATTACAGGTGTGTGCCTTCTTCACACCTGACTGGAATTTAAAACCAAGTTAAATTAACTTCCTATCTCTTTCTTGCCAGAAGAAAAACAATGGGTTGCATTCAGACCCTTCCAAAGTAATAGGGTACAAAGAACCTGCTAGAGAAGTCAGTTGGAGAGATATATTCTGAGCCGAGCAGTGGTGGCACACACCTTTAATCCCAGCACTGTGAGTTCTGGGATTCTATAAGAATAGTCTATAAGAGCTAGTTCCAGGATAGCCTCCAAAGCCACAGAAATACCCTGTCTCAGAAAACAAAACAAAACAAAACAAAAAGAGATATATTCTGGAGCAGGGTGATGGCAAAGGGCTGCAACCCCTGCTCTTGGGAAGTAGAGGCAGACACATCTCAAGTTAAAGGTCAGTCTGGGCTACATATGATCCTATCTGGAAAAACTAGGGCAAGCCCCTCCGGCTGTACAGGGGCCCTATAATAAAACTCCTTTCTTAAACTCAACCTTATCCTGATTTCCAAATAAGACTTTAAGCAGTTGTTCTCAACCTGTGGGTGGAGACCCCCTTGGATTAAACAACCCTTTCATGGGTCATCTAAGACCATCAGAAAACAAAGGTGTTTACATTGTGAGTCATAACAATAGCAAAATTTATAGTTATTAAGTAGCAACAAAATAATTTTAAGGTTAGGGGTCACCACAACATGTAGCAAAGGGTCACAGCATCAGGAAGCTTTAAAGTAACAGAAAGGCCATAGTGGCATTGGGAGGCAGAGGAAAGCCCATCTCTACAAGTTTGAAGCCAGCTTGGTCTACATAGCAAGTTCAGGGCAGCCAGGGCTACGTAGCAGAGATCCTTTCTCAATAAAAAAAAAAAAGAAAACCAGCGGGCCAGTGGTGGCGCACACCTTTAATCTCAGCACTCGGAGGCAGAGGCAGGCAGATCTCTGTGAGTTCAAGGCTGGCCTGGCTACTGAATGAATGAGTTCCAGAACAAGTTCCAAAGCTACAGAGAAATCCTGTCTCGAACCACCCCACCCCACCCCCACCCCCAAAAAAGAAAAAGAAAAGAAAACCAGAGGTTTTGCTAAGTAAACCAGGGAGAAAATGTCCAGGAGACAATTCAAAAAGCCTAGAAAGTAGACAATGCTGAAGCAGCCACAAGGAACTAAATTCAAGTGTGAAATTAGACATTGCAGAGCAAAATGACTGGAACAAAAGGAGGAATAGGCCCATATGCTGAACAAAACTAATTAACAGCTACTTCCTATGGAGTAAATTCTGTAATACTATGATTCTTTATATGCTGCTGAGTAGTCATCAGAACTACAGAAAAAGTAATGCTTTCTCAATTTTACAACTGAGGAAAATGGAAAGTGAGTGATGGGACTCATGGAGCTTAAAACCAACAAGTACAGGGGCTAGAGAATTGGCTCTGTGGCTAAAAGGACTGGGTTTGAGTCCTAGCACCCACATGGTGACTCACAACTATCTGTAGCTCCAGTCCCAAGGGATCCAGTGCCCACTTCTGGCCTCTTCTGGGCAGTGCATACAAACAACAAAAAAAAGGGGGGGGGAACCCCTCAATGGTAGAGGTTACATACAAGACAAGCAAAGTAACAATGTGAAAGAAATTGTATCGTCCCCTATGTGTCCCACACCTTTAATCCAAACACTCCGGAAGCAGAGGCAGGCAGATCTCTGTGAGTTCAAGGCTAGCCTGGTCTTCAAAGAGAGTTCCAGGACAGTCTCCAAACCTACAGAGAAATCCTGTCTCGAAACAAAGAAAATAAACAAAACAAAAAAAGAAAACATGTATCAAAAGAACTGGGGGCTAGGCTGGAGATGTGGCACAGCAGTTAAGAATACTCACTGTTCTTGAAGACAACCCCAAATGGGTTCCCAACACCTGTATGGCAGATAACACCCTCCTGTAACTCCAGTTCTAAAGGATCTGGTGCCCTCTTCTGATCTTTGTGGATATTGCATACACTCAGTGTACATACAAACAAACACTCATACACAAAATCTTAAGTAAAAAATAAACAACCAGCAAATTGTATTAAAAAAACAACAACTGGGAATCTAGGAAATGTATGCATATATCAGCTTGTATTAAAAAGGCCAATTTCTCTTTAGGTTTATTTCAAACAACTGTGTTGCAAGTGCCAAAAGAAATTTAATCCTTACCGAGTGGAATCAATCCAGTGTCAGGTAAGTGCATAGAATGCTCTGACTGTCTGTCATGTTTCCATGTGTCTGTGTGAAGCCTCCATCACAAAGTATTTGGATCTTATAGACTTGGTTCCTGGCATAAGGATACCAAGTCATTCTTTTTTTTTTTTTTTTTTTTTTTTTTTTTTTCCCGAAACAGGGTTTCTCTGTGGCTTTGGAGGCTGTCCTGGAACTAGCTCTTGTAGACCAGGCTAGTCTTGAACTCACAGAGATCCTCCTGCCTCTGCCTCCCGAGTGCTGGGATTAAAGGTGTGAGCCACCAATGCCCAGTGAGGATACCAAGTCTTTTGTATGTGTTAAAGCTTAGATTATTCTAGGAAAAGGAATAAAAACATAAATTCCATTATTATTATTATTGTTGGAGAGAAAGAGGGAGAAGATCCACTATTGTAAGTTTCCAGGCATGAGCCATCACAACTATAATCATGATGCTGGGAGGCTAAAGCAGCAGATTCAAGAGTTCAAGGTTAGTCTGGGCGTCTTGATGCTATCTCAACAAGCAAAACAAAACCAGAAAGCTTCCTTCTGTAGTGTGTTTATGCAGGGTGTCTTTAGAACATCTTCCTTGTGGTGGATGACCATCCAAATGCTGGGGTGTTTTGCGTGCAGTGTTTCCATGGTATGGCTTAACCTCTGTAAAGGTGTTGTTCCCATTCTGCAGGTCACAATGCCCAGTTCAAGTAAAATGTGATAGATTGCCAGAGGTCAGATTTCTAGGTTAATGATAGTTTCTCTACCCTGAAATTAAGTCTCTCTGCTGATGTAATTAATCAGATCAGGCTGAATTAAAGTCCAGGTTTTACTCTGAGCAAAGCATTCCCAAGCGGTCCCAGGGGAAGAGGAGAAACCATGAGGGAGAACCACATGGCAGGTATGTGTGTGTGTGTGTGTGTGTGTGTGTGTGTGTGTGTGTGTGTGTGTGTTGGGGGACGGGGATGACTGCATCGCAAATAGCCTGTAGGCATGGTCTTGAGCATCTTAGGGAGAGGAGCTGACCCTTGGTGGGCTTTCTCAGGGGCAGGGTCTGAAGAGGGCAGCTCCAGGGGAGATCCCCAACAGTAAAACCTTAACTGGATTTCATGGTGTCTTCAATGTTTGGAAAGTCTCTGAGGTAGGTGAGATTTTGACTTTCTATTAATTTTATTTTTGAGTTTGGGTATGGTGCTCAGTCTGTAGACGAGGCTGACCTTGAACTCACAGAGATCTGCCTTCCTCTGCCTCCCTAGTATGTGTGCCACCATCATCCAGCAAGGATAGTTATTTTCATGTGATTTTTAAAATTTGTTTTTTGAGACAATGTCTTGGCTGGCCTGGAATTAGTCTGCCAGCCTTTGCCTCCTGAAATGTTGGGATTAAAGGCATGCTCTTCAATTCCCATTTTAACCATACTTTTTAAAAATTTAGTGTTAGATAAATCCATTAACTTAACCCCCATGGGGCTGTCACTCTCCTCATGGCTTTCAAGTATGCTGTTATGACTCTTCATATGCTTACTTATTTAGTTAGTTTTTCAAGACAGGGTTTCTCTGCGGAGCCCTGGCTGTCCTGGAACCAGCTCTTGTAGACCAGGCTGGCCTTGAACTCACAGAGATCCACCTACTTCTGCAGCCCAAGTGCTGGGATTAAAGGTGTGCAACACTGCCATCTGTCTATGCTGAGTTGTTTTTTATTGTGCTAGCACTGCATATGGCAGTCTGTAGTGCTAATTTGTGGCTTAGGGTAGCATCTTCTTCTAGAGAGGATCTGTGCCTGCTTCTAATAGGCAGATAGATGACACTAGCAATTTCAAGCTATGCATATTTTTAGGTCATGGCTGATCTGTTTTGAAACAGAGCTTCAGATTTGTGAAGGCAGGCTTAGTTCTGGTCAATCCTTATTCAGCAGGTAGAGTCCTGGGTCCCAAGGCCAGCTCCAAGCTTTTGGAATAGGGTTCTCTTTCACTCGGGTGTTCCCCTTTAGCCCCATCTCTTTGTTAATCCCCTCAGCTTCCCACCCTCTTTCACTCATCCAGAATTGGCAGGTAGTGTTCCATATGGTGCCTCCTGTAGCATCACCCCATTCTACAGATTATGAAGTCAGTACTATAAGACAGTTTTAGAGCTGTGGTTGCATCTCCAAAGTGTAGAAAGTCCTAGAACTTGATGAGATCATCTTGTTGATAGACAGTCTCACTAGGTAGCCCTGGCTGTCCTGGAGCTCACTCTGGAGACCAGGCTGATCTTGAACTTGGAGCTTTGCCTGCCTCTGCCTCCTGAGTGCTGGGATTAAAGGCATGTACCATCACCACCACTTCTGGGCTTTAATATTTATTTGTATCTTACATGTATGAGTGTTTTGCCTACAGGTATGAATGTGCACCATATGTGTGCAGCATCAACTGAGGCCAGAAAAGGGCAGTAGATCCCCTGGAACTGGAGTTACAGTCTGTTGTGAGCCACCATGTGGGTGCTGGGGATCAAACTTAGATCTTCTGCAAGAGCAACAAGGGATTCCCTCCTTCCCCCCATTTTCCAGACAGGCTTTCTTTCTCTCTCTCTTTCTTTCTTTCTTTCTTTTGTTTAAAAGACTTATTTATTTATTATGTGTACAGTGTTCTGCCTACATGTTGTCTGCAGGCCAGAGGAGGGTACCAGATCTCATTACAGATTGTTGTGAGCCACCAAGTGGTTGCTGGGAATTGAACTCAAGACCTTTGGAAGAATAGACAGTGCTCTTAACTACTGAGGCATCTCTCCAAACCCAAGACAGGGTTTCTCTGTGTAGCTTTGGAGTCGCTCCTGGCACTCTGTAGACCAGACTGGCCTTGAACTCACTACATCCTCTGCTTCTGTCTCCCAAGTGCTGGGATTAAAGGTGTGGGCCACCACCTCCCGACTAGCAACATGGGCTCTTAACCCCTCATCTATCTGTCCATTCTCCTTAAAGCTTTTATTTTTTAGACCAGTCCCTAAGTTAGGTTCACTTGCATTTCTGTGTTTTCTCCTTAATGCCCTGGCTGCCCCCACTGCCTTTAAGCAACTGCTCTAGGTTCAACTTTTCTAGCTGTCCAGGAGGCTTACCTAACCCACTATAGAGAAAGTAGAAATCTAGCCTTGTAACAACCTTATTTGGTCTGGCTTTTTCTTTCATAGAGAAGGGGGATAGTTCAATGAATTAATCTACACAAGGTACTTGGAACGGTGCCAGCCTAGTGGAACACTTGGAATTCATTTTTAAGGAAGTATGCCCCTCCACTGGAGGAGGGAGGATGTGACTGTTGTCTGCTGTTCAGTACGTTGAACTGATGACTCCTGTTTGGAAAATGCAAATGCTAGCTCTCTGTCTTCAGAAGGTAAACTTCACCTTATTCTGTGAGGCAGAAGGTGGGTCAGTGTGCATTTAAGGTTGGCACTGCCTAGGAAGGTGTTCAAGGACAGTATGCCAGGCTCTATAGAAAGGGCTCTTGACTGAAGGGTGTGGCTTTAAATATCAGTGAGGATGGTATACATTGGGAAGAAAAGAATTTCGTTTTTCTACATCAGCAAGTTGGGACAGCAGGCAAAGGAATTGCTGCCAAGCCTGACCTGACTGGAGTCTAAGGACACACAATGATGGAAGGGAAAGGACCTAGTTGTTCTCTGACTGCCACACTCAAATCTCACCATACCACACCCAGCCTCTCCTGCACTAAATAGATAAAAGTAAACATGAATAAATACATGTGTAGCTTATATATAATGTAAACTCATTGACAGTGAACTTAGCTTCCTCAGAAGATCTTTCCTTCCTAGTTGTAACAACAATTTGAATTGTGTCCAGTTTCTGTCAGCATGTCCCCTATGGAGTAAAGTCACCCCTGGTTGAGACCGTGGCTCTCTTGTCCTTTGATTAAATGGTCCCTGCACTCTGCCTCTCATCCCCATAGGTTACAGATATATAAAATTACACACAGAGACACTCTAAGATGCCCCCTTCTCCATATTTTGTTATTGTCTTGATTGGCATGATGACATTCTTACAGGTGGCTTTTGAAGGGGCATGGACACTTCGTGCAACTTGGAAATAGTCTTCTTGCAGGACTGGGAAGAAGACACAGCTATGGGAAGAAGGGGGAGGGAAGGAGTATTTCCATTTGAGGGGTTACACATGGAACACTGATTGATCATTTGCTGTCCTAACTTGCCTCCCAAAGACCTGCTCAAAACCCTGTTGCTGCTGTCCTCAAAAGAAAAGACACATTGATATGAGGAGGCCACATCGTCAGGAGCTCTGCGGTCGCTGCAAAGACAAGAAATTCTCCTGTAGCGATATTTATAGCTTTAAATTCATCCTGTGACAGCGGACGATGCGGTTTCTGGTTTGTAGACTTGACAGCAGTGAAGCTCTCCATGAAGCTGGCTCTGACTGGACAATGGAGAATTGTCTAAGCTTTTGTATATGTCATAAGTTGGGAAACAGGTGTACAGTGTGAATAGAATAAAATAAATGCATGTGAACTAGACCATGAGAAACACATTAATGAGGAATTCCTGGGTCAAAACAGTACTATCATACTGGAAACAGTAGCTATTGACATTATATAAGGAGGAGAAAAAGCCAGGTATGGTGGCTTATACCTTCAATCCCATCACTGGGGAGGCAGAGGCAGGTTGATCTCTGAGTCTGAAACCAGCCTGGTCTACAGAGAGAGTTCCAGGACAGCCAGGACTGCATAGAGAAACTCTTCAAAAAACAAACAAACAAACAACCCCCCCCAAAACCCAAGAAGCAAAAATTTTAAAAGTGACCAACATTTTTGGGGGCAGGTTTCTGACTGGCCCGAAACTTGTTATATAGACTAGGCTGGCCCCAAACTCTCAGGGGTCTGCCTGCCTCTGACTCCTTAGTGCTGGGATTAAGTAAGTGATAAAATTTTTGATAGGTATTATAGTCAATGGAATGTAGAGATAGAGATACTCAAGGGGGCTAGGTCCTTGCTTCCCATTGTACAAAATTATAGCAACACCTAGTGTGTGCCAGACATCGTTGTAACTTAACACAGCAGCTTTTTTTTTTTTTTTAAGACAAAGCTTCCTTTTGCCCCAGCTGGCCTCCAACTCACTATACTGCTGGGATTACAGCTTTCATTTCCCCCCTCCTCCCTTCTCCCCTTCTTTTTCCCCTTTCTCCTCTCCCTCCTGTCCTCCTCCCTCTGTTTTTGAAACAGGCTATCGCTAAGATCTCCTAGGTGAGGAGGTGGGGCAGAGATGTCATGGAGCAGAGCTAGGATTTGAAGCTGGGCTGATCAGGACTTGCTCCCTGATGGAAATTCGTGTGTTTATGTTTTACCTCTAACTAGGATGGCAATACATGATGTAGGACTAAGACAGAGAAACCCATTTGAGAGACTAGGAGGAGACAACAAGAAAAAGCAGACCTCAAAATGAAGGGTGCTGAGAGGGGTAGGTCTGACTGAAGGGACAGCAAGAGCAAGGGTCCTGAGAGGGTGCTGGGTGCTTACCACATTCCAGGGCCAACATGGGACATATCGTAAAGTCTCTTAAGACCAAAGTCAAGAGCACAAGAGCCCATGAAAAAAACCCTTGAAAGGGTTTCAATAGGACAGTGAGGTGAGGTTTTTTTTTTTTTTTTTTTTTTTTTTTTTTTTTTTTTTTTGCTTTAAAAGCTCACTATGTGAGGCAAAGCTGGGGAAGATAGAAGGAAGGAGACTGGCGAGGAAGTGAACAGACACATAAGCACAATGACACCTTGGGCAAAAGTGGCTATGGCCAGGCAGTGCTTTAATTCCAGCACTCCACTCTGGAGGCAGAGGTAGGTGAATCTTTGAGTTCAAGACCAGCCCTGCTCTACAGAGTGAGTTCCAGGACTGTCAGGGCTGTCTTAGAAAAAAAAGTGGTAGCTATGGAGCTAGAGAAGGAATCCATAAATCCAGGATAATGTTGTTTGGAAATGCTCAAGGGTTGGCAGTGGGAGGGGAAAAGATGGTGTTTTTTTTTTTTTTTTTTCTCACCCGAGACAGGGTTTCTTTATGTAACAGCCCTGGCTGTCCTTGAACTCACTCTACACCAGGCTGGCCTTGAACTCACAGAGGTCTACCTACCTCTGCCTCCCAAGGGCTGGGATTAAAGGCATGTGCCACCACCTCTCTTCTTTGAGCTGTGGAGGGGGATGGCATTGAGAGTTGTACCAGTTAGCAAGGATGTGTGCCACACTATCTAGCTCCCAGTTCTGACTTCTGTATTTAAGGGACATGTGATCACAGGTAAGTCACTTGGTCTCTGTGTCTCACTATCTATAAAAAGAACATAATAATAGTTCCTGTCTCTTGGTGATGGTATAAGTACGAAAAGAGCCGGCACATCCTTGCTTTGTGTTGCTATAACAAAATAACCAAACCTAGGTACCTTATAAAACACACAGGTTTATTTGGCTCTCATACTTGGAAGCTGAACGTTTAAGATCAGGGAGCTAAGTTTGTTTGGCTTCCTGTGAAGTTGTTTCTGGCTATGGTACATCACCTTGACTGGTGTTTTGTAGGAGCCATGTATGAGAATAGCAAACATTGCAAATGGAAGAGACTGAATGTGTTGTGAGGCCTCCCTTTAGAACAGCTGCCATCACAGTCGTGAACACATTCCCTGGAGACCTAACTCAGCCCTAAGAGATGGGCATGAATCCCCTCTGTGGGTAGTACCCCTCTGACCAAATTATGTATCACTTGGCCTACTCAAAATTTTTTAACCTTTAGGGCCAGACAGTGATGGTGCATGCCTTTAATCCCGGCACTTGGGAGGCAGAGGCAGGCAGATCTCTGTCAGTTCAAGGTGAGTTCCAGGACAGTCAGGCCTGTTACACAGAGAGAAACTGTCTCAAAAAACAAAACAAAACAAAAATTTAACTTTTACTTTTGTGGGTTTGTGTGTGTGTGTGTATGTGTGTGTGTGTGTGTGTGTAGGTATTTTGCTTGCATGAATGTCTGCAGACCATATGCGTGCAGTGCCTGCATAGGCCAGAAGAGGGCGTCAGGTCACCTTGAACTGGAGTTACAGATGATTGTGAGCTCTATCATGTTGGTGTCTGGAACTGAGCCCTGGTCCTCTGGAAGAGCAACCGATGCTCTTAACTGCTGAGATAATTTCTCTAGCCTCTTAAATCTTTTAACCTCCAATTTTAATTTTATTTTATGCATACAGATATTTTGCTGCATGTATGTATATATACCATGTGAGTACCTGGTGCCAACAGAGGCCAGAAGAGGGCATCAGATCCCCTGGAAATGGAATTATGGGTAGTTGTGAGCCATGATGTGGGTGCTGGGAACCAAACCCAAGTCTGTTTAACCACTAAGCATCTCTCCAGCCCTACATCATATTTTGGTGGATCCTTTTAATGGCATAGAATTAATTTCTGTCTTCAACATACCAAGTTTGAAGGATCTGAGATATCTATTCAATGTCTGTAGGCTGATTTATATGTATCAGGGATAGAAATGAAAGCAAAAAACAAAAAACAGCATTTGGAGTCATGACCCTGGATGGGATCACCTAAAAAAGTATGCCACAGAATCCTGGGATATACCAGTGTTTACTGCAAGAAGCCTACAATTTTAATGACTCAGGAGCCATCTGGGGAACTTGGGTGAAGATTCTGATTCAGGGTCTGTGACACTGACAATCTAACATGTCCTCAGAGGCTTCCGGTGTGATAGGGACACTCCATCCCATCACTGTGAGCAACAACAGAGATAAAAGAGGCCAAGAGGCATAGGAAAGAGGAGAGATGAAAGGGAAAATGAGACACGTCAAGAATGATGTAAACAAAGACAAGGCAGGTTGGGTAACATGGAGCCGACAGCCGACCTTGGAAAGGTTCAGTGGGATGGTGCATGGAGACTGGGGCTAGAGGCAGAATGGGGAACGGAGCTGATGCTTTCCCTACAATTTATGGATTTAGAAAACAAAGCTGGCTTTAGAAGGACATTTGAGGGGTAAGGAATCGCCAGGCTCATTGAATCATTTATGTGTGTGTCTGTGTGTGGGACTTGCAGGAGTGAGCTACCATTTCTGGCTCTGATTTTTCTCTTTGGTCAGTAAGATGACTGAAAGCATCTTGGGTCTTGGGTCTTGGGTTTGGAGAGATGGCTCAGTGGTTAGACCTCATATTGGTCTTGTAGAGGACCAGAGTTCAAGTCTCAGCACTGTGTCAGGTGGCTCACAACTGCCTGAAGGACAGCTCTAGGGGGACCAGGCTCCTTTTCTTTCTGTAGGTACATGTACTCAAGTGCACACTCTTATGCACAGGCATGCATAACACACAGAATTAAATTTTTTTTAAAAAAAGAGGGATAAGAGCTGGAGAGATGGCTCTACAGTTAAGAGCACTGGCTGCTCTTGCATAGGGCCAGGCTTTTATTGCTAGCACCCAAATGGTGCTCGCAACCACCTGTAACTCCCGTGCCCTCTTCTGGCTTCCACAGGCAACTGCATGTATACGGTACACATACATACACACATATTCAGGTACACGCATAAGTAAAATAATAAGTCTATCTATCTATAAAGAAAAGTCGTGTTCTTACTTTGGTGTCTACTTCCAAAGAGACTGCACTTCATCTGGATTCAGGAGCCACACCCTAAACAGCTGCAGGGTGTGATTCACAGAATATAAGCACACAGTATACCTCACAGCCACAGGCAAAACCACAAATATGTGTCAAAGGCAAATATTTTAATTAACTAGAAATAAAATCCATGATCAACATGTAGTTTGTCTTCTCTTGTTTGTTTGTTTTAGTCTAAAGGCAATTCTGAACAGAATTATCAATCAAGATTACATCACAAAAATTTTAAATGTATTTACACAGTGAATAAGTTACATAGATAAACTCTGAATATGCTTTGGATGTGCAACAGAGTCACATGCCCACATCTAACACTCGGCAGCATGGGGTTTAAGGAAGAAACTGTAAGAATGGCCCTTTACACATATATTACAAATAAAACAGGATATTACTCTTCAAGTGGCAACTCGTGTCTTCCCTTTCTGACTCTACTTCTGGCCATCCAAATGGCTACGAAAAGATGCATGCACGACAGATGCGAGGAATTGGGGTTTATGTGAAGAATTTGTTTCTCTACAAAACAGCAAAGTTAACTCAAATGAACACTCATTCTTCTGTAGTATAAATAACACTCTTTAAAGCAACCTTCTTGTAAAAAGCAGCCAAGATCCTTTAAAAGAACCTATCTGGACCATTCCTGGGGCAGAGACATCCAGTATCCAGATTTGGAAACAGTAGCCTAGCAACATAAGAAAGGTACTTCATAGCAGCCTCAT